AAAAGATTGAGATAACTATCAGAGGACAAAAAAGGGAAACAATTTCAAGATATCACTATTACACTTTTTTCTTTTTCTTTTTCTTTTTGTTTTTTTCAAGTTTCCATCCAAAGAACTCTCTCAGCTTCTCAACCTACTTTCCTAATTCCAAAAATGCAAATACCAACCACAAAAGCAGAAATATCCTCTATTCAGAGAAACATACTTTAGAAAGATTTCAATAGCCTAGGAGAAGAATACAGTAGAACACACTAGTAAACAGTCGCTGTACTTGGAAGTATAGCAAACATACAAAGCGTTGACATACTAGGTAACCAAGGTGAGTCAGGAAAAGTCTACCTGGTAAGCGTTCCATTCTGATTGTGAAGGAACACCTTGAGTTGGAGAAAACATCAAAGGGATATAAGGAGGATTTTCATTCAAAGTGGTAGGAGGAGACCAAGGTGCAAGAGTTGAATGCGAGCCATTAGGTGCAAAGATGGATCCCCCATTGCTGTATTTGGGCGAAGCATCAGGTCCTCCGGCAGAGGTAGGGTCAGGATGGTTAAATCTACAATTGGCTCCAAATTTGCACGAGCCGTTGCGCATATAAAAAGGGCACTCCTTTTCTCCCTGTGAAGACAGAACCTCATCACAAATTTCACAAATGAAAAGGGACAAGTTAACAAATTCAGATGTAAAAGAAGGCTAATTCCAGAAACACAGTACAAGTTTACAGAAATAAAAAGATGCTATTTAATCACCACAACAAAATTCTAGTTTCCAAAGAACATATCAACCAAGATGATGGAGTTCTTTTTAAGTACCAGACGAATTGGCAAACCCATAAAATTAAGCTTTGAGGTAGGGTTCGTTTTTCTGCTGTGATTGAATTTACAAGCTTTCCCAAACTTACATCCTCCGGGACGATCAAAGTACTGCATCAGGAGAAAAGGACAAATAATATAGCAGAGTAAAAAAAAAATTGTTATGGTGAACAGTCAATTACGCAGATGCATATATGATTCTATCTAATTAAACTCTAGGTAATACTTCATAATCGAAAAAATAAGGGGTCATTTATAACACTACTTTTTACTCAAAGATTGTGTAGATAAATCACATGAATATGACTGATGGATAAATTCAAGACAACATTAACCAGTTTTAAGTAAGGCTAAACCAAGTTCATATAGAATGGGGCATAAATCAGTCGCTTGAGTTAGAAAAATGCAGAATATTAATAGTAAAAATGGCAGAAATAGAAGCAGAATGCACAATTATTAGACAAGATACCGTAAAAGAATAGGCTTTGCCAGTCAAGAATAATAAGATTATGAAACAACTCTATGACTTAGCTGGGACACTCTTCAAAAATCATCAGAACATGTTTGGGGCAAGACAGTTTCTAGATCAATAAAAGAGTTCGCATCAAGCAACATCAAAGCCTGTATGATGAGCTAACCACCAAGGTAGCATCTGACAATCAGAACATGTTTAGGGTCGAGACAGTTACAAGAGAAAGCATTACGGAAACAACAAAGCCTACATGACGTTCTAACCACCAAGATAGAGCTGGAGCTCAGGATGTAAGAGACTGAAGACTATCTTGAAGATTAAGATAACTACATGGTCTACATCTTCAAGAATCCGATATTGGTGCTAATTTATCTGTAAATCAAGAAGCATATAACAAATGGCACAAGCAACTATTTATAAATCAACATCTGCTATTATTTCAGCCTTCAGGCATATCGCTTGCTAAATCGCTATGCTTCTAGAATATAGATAACACCTCTTCTTCCCTTGTGGTATTAACACAAGGTACTCCTTCCAATAATTTTAGTTAATTTTTTTTTCCCAAATATTGTGATTATTTAAATTACCCACTCATGTTACCTGGCATAGAAAACCTATTAATTGCTTACAGCCTTACAGTACTCTATAAAAAGTTAGCCTCCCTCTGAATTTAGATTATGGATTTCCAGGAAAACTCGTTCGCACTTCATATAGCTTGCACAGTTGCACTACCGTATATTAAAAAATAAATAGATAAAAGAATAAACATACTCCGTCTCTGTATTCCAAAGGCAACAGGAGAGAGGGAGGCCCAAAATGACATGGACGGAAGAGATAAAGAAGACTTAAGAAACTTGCAAAAAGCAAGTAGCAATGGGTAGAAGGCTAGAAGCAAATGGAGGAAGAGGACCAAGGAGATTGATTACTTTTTTTTTTTTTTTTTTTTTTTTTTTTTTGGTAATTGTATCATTTGCTGCATTCCAATTCTAGCCCAAACTATATGACAATTAGGTATGCCTAAAAAAAAATTGACAATTAGGTAACTTTTAAAGGTCACAAAGTCTAGTATGATTGATAGTCTCTAAGATTTTCGATATTATGAATTTATGATGGATCCTAGTTCACTCAATATATCAAAATTCAGCAGCCAGTAATCCAATGTTGGTCAGAGGTACTTAATTTAAGGTATTTTGTTGGTCCCTTTATTTTGGAGGTCCACAATGATCCAAACAAATATGATTACGATAATGCTTATACAGAAAATCACCACTATACCTAATAATATCATCTTATGCCACCAAAGAGAATATATAATACTAAGCACTTCTGAGAGCTAAATACGAGAAGCTAAAAGTAAAAACATTAGGAGTATTAAGCATTAACTACTCTACTCACAAGAACACTGATCAACAAATGATTTTGTCATGAAAGATATCACTCATCCATTTAAAATAAATAAATAAGAAAACATATATACACCTTGCAATCAATCTGTTCTTTGTCCACAGATTCATCCTTTTCCTTCACCTTCTGTATAGTAGCAGCAACACATTCTTCCTTTGCCCTCACCTTAACACCCTACAACATTTCAAGAAAAATCAGCCAAAAATTTAAAATCTATTTTTCAATTAACTCATCAACTAATTTCTAAAATCAAATAATCAAAACAAAAATTAACCCAAAAGCAAATACAAAACTCTTAAATAACCTGAAATCTCCTATTATTAGGAGGATGATTAAACTTGCAATTCATCCCAAACTTGCAAGTCCCAGTTCGAACATAAAACGTACAATCCTCAGCCTCCGGCCTCACCGGAAACTTATTACTATTTCTACGACTCAACACTTTATCACTACCCTCATTTCTGCTCACATTCTCAATTTCCCCCTTTTCTTCCCCACTCTCTACTTCATGGTTTACCATCACCACCGTTCCATCCCCGTCTTCATCGCCATTGTTTCCCACCTCGATTTCGGTCTGAATCCCATCACTACTAATCCTACAGGCTAACTCCTTATCACTACCCTCAATTCTACTCACATTCTCAACTTCCCCCTTTTCTTCCCCACTCCCCACTTCATGGTTTTCTATCATCACCGTGTGATCACCATCTTCGCCGCCATTGTTACTCGACTCGATTTCAGTCTGAATCCTATCACTACCAATCCTACAACCTAACACCTCTTCACTACCCTCAATTTTGCTCACATTCTCAATACCCTGCTTTTCCTCCGAACCCAATTTACGGTTCTCTTTCGCCTCCGAGCGATCAACATCTTCACCGCCATTGTTGTCGGTAGCAAAGGTGATACTACTACTTCTGCCCCTCAATTCACTCATGATCACATCCTCAATCTCCCTCTTTTCTTCCCTACATTCTTCTTCATTGTTTCCTATCTCCTCCGTACGATCGCCATTGTCGGCAGCTTCAATTACAGCAATAACATCATCACTACTATTTCTACCCTTCAAATCATTACTCCTCACAATCTCAATTTCCCCATTCTCTTCTTCGTTCTTTTCTCTCTCCACTTTAGGATCGCCGTCTTCGCCGCCATTAACGGCGTCAATAGAGAGAGAAACGAGGCGATCGTTGATGGAATCGGAAGATTGATGATGATCAAATGATGGAGAAGAAGATTCTGCAGATGAAATTTCTGAATTTTGTTGATTTGTGAGAGAAAGCCCTAAAGGGCAAGTTGATGATGATGATGATTCTAACCCTAACTCCATTGTTGAAGCTTGAACATTTCAAAACCCTAAAAAAAGGAAATTGATTTCGTTAAAGAGAAAAAAGAGGGAATAAACAAAGGAATGTGTTCAACTACTACAATTGGCAAATTAGGTGATGAAATTATACAAAGTGCAAAGTATTTTTGCATGGAATGTAAGGATGCAAAAGAAACGAATAAAGTTATTGTCTAAAATGAGACTCAAAAGAATTAGACGATGTAATTGTATTTATTTAGTTGATCATTTGAATTAGTCTTAAAAATTCTTGTTCCACTTTGACTCATTAAAGATTTAGTTTGATTAATTCGAAATACTTAATTTATGGATTTGTTTGTATTTGAATTCAAGTTTGAGATTACGGCAAATTTAATTTTACAATGAGTTTCTAACAAGAAAAATTTGCACTTACAGTAAAAATAAAGTGTACAATGTTATTACACAATTTTTAAAATATCAATTTTATTTTTTTTTTGGAGCTAACAAACGAATTTAAACGAGCTTGTGTAACTTAAAATCCACAACTATACTTGGTTAAAATTTCAAAGAGTGATTGTGTATATCAATGTCACTTCTTCTATTTTTAATAGTCAATTGGTAATAACTTAAAATAAATGCATACTTATAATTGATTTTGGCCAAAGTTTTATGTTGGGTCAACTTCTGTTAACTATAAACACTATGGACACGGTAAAATTGATTGGATTTTTAAAGTTTATAGGTAAAATGACTTACTCAAACTTATACATTCACATTAAAGCCGATAAATGAAAAACATGCAAGAAAAATTCAAAACATAATCATGATAGAATTGTAAAATCTTACCACATTAAGCACATACATACAATTGTACATAAGACAATATCAATCATCAAATCATGTAACAAAGGATAGTAAGAGTTTAAGATCCCCATGTGAATTTTTACAACCATGAATACATGTGAAGGTATTCTCTTGTTCTTTCCAAATCCTACGAGATATAAAAAGAACATTAGGAAATATAAAATAAGTATCACCAAATCTTGTACAAATTGTCAAAGTCAACAATGAGAAGAAAAGCACTTGACCAAGCTAAGTCATAACATGTATGATTGTATATAAATATAATACATTAGACAAATGGTTCCTCAAGGAATTTCTTGATTAAACTAAAAGAATGGGTCCAATGAAGACCCCCTGACATGACAGATTCAACCATTCTTACCAAATCCCAGTTAAAATGGGAAATCCTAAAACTAAAAATTGAACTAAGACCTAAGGTCAATCAATTGTAACAGATTCTTGACAAGCAATGTTAAATTATGTTTTTACATACCACCTAAATATATTATTTCCTAGCCTTCTTTGCTGCATGACCTGTCTTGCGTTTGTGACGACTAAAATCTGAAACAAATCTGAATGTTTGTCCACAACCCGGTTCATTACAGACATATGGGCGAGCCCCGGTGTGCACCCGAATATGTTCAGTGCGGGCCCACGCCCACTTGAAAGTCATTCGACATCCCTTCCAAGGACACTTCAAGGGCCGGTCATCCATGTGAACACGTCGATGCTGAACCAGATACTTGTGTGAGAAGAACTTCTTACCACATCCCTTGACCGGGCATATGTTTCGTTTATGCAAGGCAAGTTCTTGCTTTGAGCCCAAACTCATGCTGCACCCCTCAACGTCACAGGCAAATTCAGCTGTCTCTTCTTCTTCATCTTCTTCATCTGCATCACCAGTGGAGAGAGATGGATTCTTCCTGGCTGGACCCTTCATAGCTGGACCTCTTGATACTGGAAGCCTCATTTTGGGACCCTTTCTTGCTGGAATAGCATTCTTCACGACTGGAGCTGCTTTTTTTCCTTTGGATTTCTGTACTTGCCGCTTCACTGCTGGCTTTGTTTCTCTCCTATCCTGAGTAGGCCTCGAAATTCTTTTCCTTAGACGAGTGCTTGGCCCACCATCCATCTCATCATCATCATCAGTGACAGGCTCAAATTGTTTATGGACTGGGACCCGCCGCTGAGAAGAGCCTGGACTCCTAAAATTCCTCTGCTCCTCTAGTTCAGATTCATTAGATGGTGAACCTTCAGACTCACTATCCACATCTTTTGGTTGGGATATTACCTTTCTGGCTGATTTGCCCTCTGCTTTCAGCTTCCGATTACAGCTTCTCAATCCATGTTGATGAGACCTATCATCCAGTGAATCATCATCAGAATAATTGTGAATGGCTGCAGCACTCTGATGACCTTTTGCTTTGAGAATTTGTTTGGCTCCTCGCTTCAAGGTTCTAACACTTCTCAAAGTTCCTCGAGGAGATTTAATATATTCTTGTGAATCCTCTGAGTTGGTATCTGGAATTTCTTCTTGGTGCTTTACTCTCTTGATAGGCCTGCATTGTGTTTTTGATTTTCTGACACTTCTCCTAGTCTCTAGCTCAGGTTTATCATCCACTGAATCTTCCGGATCAGTATCAGCAAAATCTGTGACTTCAAATTTCATTTTCTTGGCTATCCTACTCCCTGGCATTGATCTTCTCTTCTTTCCTGCCTTTCTATTCGCATAGGTGGTTTGAGCTTTATAACTAGTTTCTGATTTTCTCCCAATTTTCACATCTGATTTCAAACAAGCATCTTCATCAGGATCTCTATTTAATAACAAAGGATGAACCTGATTCGACATCCATACTTTACCACACCATTTACCAGCCATCACCAACTTTTTCTGCCTGCCAAACCCTTTGCCACAGACCTTGGCTTCCGGAGAGAATTTTGATGGAGTACTGCAGCCAAATGCATTATATATGACAGAGTTGTAGGGCATCTGCTTATTATAGAGAGGTGAACGGCTGAGGATGGCACTATAAAAGAGATTGATGCCCAGTTTTACAGCCCAATCCCCATTCTTTGGTGTGGCTTCCTCGCTTTGCAAGGCCATATGAATTCGCTCCTCATCTTCTTTGGTGGCCATGGAGAAAGCAATATCTTTCCATCCATAGTCCATTTCCAACTCTTCTGCTACCTTCTTTGCTTCAACTTCTACATTCGGATAGTCTGAAAATGCAGGACAAATGTATCAAGAAGCAGCGAGGATTAAACCTCTACAACCAAAACATGTATATTCCCACAGTTATGCTATTCATATGCAAGAAAAAAAAACACTCTATAACAATAAAATAAAAAATAAAAAAATTTAAAAAAATATATATTGGCTCTCCCATAGCTATTGATATGATAAAGGAAACAATAAACTGCCATATTTTACTTTTATCAATTATAACTAAAAATAGAGTAATATTCAGGAAAAGTGGACAAATTCTATACACACCCAATTTTCATGCATCTTATATCATGTCCAAAGGCTCACAAAACTCTCTGCAGAAGACTCCCCACTTCTGCAAAGTACATAAGCCAAGTGTTCATGCAAGTAATCTGCATCTGTTGCCAATTGGTCCAGATGACAAGGTTGAGGCCGTAGATCCCTAGAAACCACAGCCTTTAGGTTCAAAAGTAAAAATCACCTATCTAAGCAAGATGAACATAAACATAGCAATAAAAACAGTAACAGGATTACAGGACTGCAGCTGTGCAAAGAACTTGATAAAAAGCCATCAACCACACAAGCTTTCCAAGTTAAGCATTATTAATTCTGCTAAAAGGATTCAACATTATACATCACATAATATAACTTTAAGTTTTTATAACCGCATGCTTAGTCATTCAGAACAAGCCAAGCTACATAATATTGACTGCCTTCCCATGACCCGAGTTTCAAATGGCCACTTTTTTTCCTAGAGTACTAGCAGTGTGCCAGTGTTGAAGGAAGTAGTGAGGTGCTCAGGTGCTAGATCTTTGAGCTAACAAAAGCTAGATGTAGCTCCCTCCCTTAAGATATCAGCCCCTAGTAGACTCAGAAGCTAAAAGCAACGCACACACAGCAATGAATCAACATATAAAAAATCCACACCCACCTGGATGACAAAGGAGTAAGATATGCACCCCACCAATAGGTCGGAGTTGTTTTTCAACCTCAACAGCATGCTCAAGACAGAAAACATGCATCCTTGAAGAATCTTCATCACATCTACGAGGATAAGAAAGATTTGGCTTGCCCACTGGGTCAATAGCACAGCTGTATTTTGCAGTATTATGTTCATCAGCAATAGGAGAATAATTTCGCTCAGAAGTCAATGTATCTTCCTCCGTGAATTTGGCAGAGCAGTTGTGAGAATCATACTCATCATCGTCTCCATTAATTCTTCTGTGGCCACAGTGTTCATAGAAATCAGACCTTTGGAGCGAATCCTCATCTTCACAGTCAGATCTTGAAGAAATTTGGCTTGGACCCCTTTCTAAACCACTATCATAGCCTTGCTCAAAATTTGGTGATGAAGAATCATCTTGGTGAAATCTAGCACCCCATGAACCATCTCCAGATAAATTATCCTCAGAAACAACTGGACAATTGGGTTGAACATCATCTTCATCAGAGTCGGAAGAATGTCCGTATGTCATAGCCAATAAGCCAAGCGCAGATGATTCATTCTTAATTTCAGTGTGTGACCCCACTTCTACATTCTCAGAAGTATTTGACTTCAGTGTTGAGGTGTTAATTGTGCTTTGACCTTGGTGATCAGTGGACTGGACAGGGTTACCATATGAGCCTTCAGGGCCATTTTTTTCCATGGACCCTGCAATTCAAAAAATACCAAAGTTACCATGTTTCCTAGATATTAGAAGAATGTACCCTCCATAAGCATTCATCCAATAGTCGATGCAAATTCAAGAGCCTTCATAAAAGCCATTCATTAAAGGAGCTACGATAAGGATAACAAGCCAGCAAAACATCAACGAAGAAAAAATTGGTTGGGAAAATTAAACGGAAAATTGCACACCCTTCCAAAACATAGCATAGTGAATCATACACATACTCTACCTGAAAAAGAATCTGGGTCTGATGTATTTGCTTCACCATCATTTGGATCAATTCGATGACTTGATACTCCAGAACCAACAATCCAATCATTAAAGGAGCTACAATCGGCTGACATCAAGTACTGCGCAGCTGATTCAGTAGGTTGAACAATGGCAACACAAGCAAAAGTCCAAATCCCACATTTGACACATGAAAACAATCCACGATCTGACAATCCATCTCCAGATGCACCTCCTCCTTTTTCAGTTTCTGAGTGTTGTATCTCACGCGGCACAGCGGACATAGAACCACCAAACTTTGATTTGACAGAATAAAAAGATTTTTGTTGCTTAACATCTCTAGCTAACATAATGTCATCAGAAGCTTTAATAGCTTCCTCTGAACTATATAAGCTAAAAGGTAATCCAGGTTTCACTTTATACTTGGATCCAACACGCAAATTGGACCAAACAAATATTTCAGAAGAATTGTGAGGGAGAAGTACAACTTCAGATCCTTGTCCAAGAGTGTAAAGGAGATCATTATTTTGTATTACATCTTGCACAAACATCTGTTTAACCAGCATTTCACCTTCACCCTTTTTCTTATCTTTTAGGCGAGAACTTCGAGGCCCAGCATTGCTTCCCACTGATGCCCTAACATCAAAAAGAGTGGGAATGATCAGGCTGAGAACTGCCCAAACTTGTTTATAAGATATCTCATAATAAAAAGACAACTTTCTTCAATGACAACAGAAAAATAAACCACGGATAAAATGGGGAAAGTAAATAAAGACAATAAAAAAGAAACAAACATGTCTGAACCACTTACATGTTATAATACAATGTTCCCACAAACTGATAAAAACCAGCATACTAAACAGTAAACAGAAAAGTAAAAAGCTAATAAACTGCAAGCAGCAATTCATTATAGTTACCCATCATTTATATCTATTCATGGTAAGAAATGCATGGCACTGAAAGCAGAGTTAAGCAGAAAGTCAATCAATAGAGAGAACATGCACCTTGAACATATAGCTAATGCAAGATCATAAAGCAACTGGAAATGAGAGACCATTGGTGGATAGTTTATTGAGGCTCTACGAATAGCAGCATCTTTTGCAAATCTCAGCCATTCAGGAGTGGCAATATTAGATGCTTCTCCACAGTTAAACCCTACATCAAAAGTTCAAACTAAATCAACAACACACTCATTAGCGCTACAGAGAGCAAACGAACTGAAAAAAAAAAAAAAAAAAGCTCACCATGACTGAAGCCAGAATGGTAAGCCCTTGGGAATGTGACAACAAACTCCCCTGCATTTTGCACTAACCTGATCAGGAGCAAAAGAAAATGTAGACAGGACTAATTACATTCAAGGCACTCTCAAAAAGGGCAACCTCAGAGTAGAGTAATAACAATGGCCTAGCAACTAGAAATTTGTAGTAGCTTTGAGAGTGTTAATCACCTGCAACAGGGAACCCCTGCATTAACAAGCACTTCTGGGGACATCACTGTAGTTTTTTCGCCAAGTGTAGCAAAGGTAACTGTTGCATTAGAAAAAAGGATAAATCAGGACTTAACTTCAACCAAGTAGTTCAATTTTCCTTCTCCAACATCAAAGAATCAAGAAATAGCAGCAAGTTAGAGGCTGATGCAAAACCAACATTTTTCAGGGTAAAGCACAAAGAACAGAAAAGGGGAACTCATATAAATAGTTCCGCAGACCAAAGTTAAAACATCCTCTCAATTAACAACTATGCATAAAACTCAACTCACGAACTTAATCTGTCAAACCAAAGTGCACAAGATGGACATAAACAGAGATGATCACAACAAATTATTTTTGAAACAGGACTTGGATGTTTTTCTAGAATACTTCCGTCATCAGACACAGGACTAGCAAATATAACCAGCTAGTACATAGTAATGAAGCAAGAGTTGAAGATTTTCCTAGCACAAGAAATTTTTCCCGTTGCATTATGTCTATATCAGCATAATTCCAACATGTCTTTCAAAAGAATTATGGCTAGCTAGCAATAAAGGTACATACATCCAGATATCCCAAGACTTCACTATCAAGTCCGTGAAAGGTCAATGTTATTGTTTCCTGAAAAAAATAATAATTAAAAATAAAACCTAGCCCCCAAACTGACCCCCGATCTCATGCATCAATAATCATCAGGTGACAGAAATTGCCACTTTACGCTCTTACAATCATTCAATTGCCAACTAGTACCGTTGCTAATCACGTTACATGAACGGAAATGACATAAGGCACTATCCTAATAAAGAAGAAAAGATACAAAGATAATCACAGGCAACCAGGAGAAACCTAAAAATCTTTACATAGAAATTTGACTTCAAATAACGTCTACTCACACAGGTTACAGCCAATCATTGCCTCCTACCAAATACTCCTACACACAAAGCACATCACTACATCAGCAATAACTCCCATCATAAAAATCCCTCCTCTCTCAAGTTCAAAAGCAGCCACAGCCAAAATTCTATCATCATTCCAAAAATAGCAACATTAACAATAAGATGCAAAACAAGTAAATTTTACAACAACACAGCTCTAACAAGCTCACTAACCTCTTGCTACCAAAATACCATGATCACAACTCACAATCACCCGCTCACACAACATTTGAAAACTAAATGTGCCGCACGAAAACAGAGCAAACAGGGCAGACTATCAAACTAGCACATGATCACACCATTTTAAGCCTAAACCAACAACCATAACATTATTTCCTACAAGATAAAGCAGCAATGATAACAATAACAATACCTCCCAAACGCTGACATTAATCCATAGTAATAATCAAGATAAAACCTCAAATGTAGTAAACCAAAAACAATCAAATGAACCACTAACCAAGAGGGTTAATCTCTTCCCCAAAGCCATGAACCCGAATGACCTCTTCGAAGGCGGAAGCAGCATCCTTAGGAACACCATACCAAGTCTTACCAGCACCCAAATGCAAGTAATTCAAACTATGCAAATCATGATCTTCAACATGCCAAGCAAACCAACTAAACATCATAGCAACATAAACCATAGGAGAAGTAACACCAGGAATTTCCTCCTTCATAAACCTCAACAAAGAGCCATTAGACCTTGCAACACCTCTCATATTCCAAGCAGTCTCGCCAACATTAGAAGCACCAACAGAAACAACTTCCCCTGTTTTTTTATCTTTCATGGGTATAAAACCAGACCCAGGCATGTCATTAGCATACTCAACAGAAAAGGGTCTATCCCCATTAGCCTTCCAGTAAAGGGTCTCAACCTCGAAAGGCGATACCGCCTTTTTAGCACGATTCTTCAAGTAATTCTTCTCAAAATTCTTAGCCTTAGCTTCAAATTGCTGGAGAGTGTAGTACTCACCACTCTGCCACACTGACTTGTGAATGGGTCGTTGTTTTCTGGGGCAAAACCCGACTTGCTGTTGTCGGGTCGTAAATGTGGGTTGAGAATTATTAGGGTTTTGATTACAATTATTGGGTAATGATTGAAGTGAACGATTTAGGTTAGAAATTACAGATTTTTTTGATTGGGGAGGAACAGGAGGAACAATCTTACAAATCCCAAATTTAGAAGCTTCCTTTTCAATCTTGAAAATGTAAGCAATTGGATCTTGAAATTCTTGGATTGTTGGGTGATATTCTGGAGCAACTGGTAGGGTTTTCAGCCATGGAAATACCTCTGGACTTGAATGCTCTGCTGTAACAAATGAAGAAGAACCCATTTCCTAAATTTTCTTAAATTATATTTTGGAAAAATTGGGGAAATAAAAAGGAATTTTTTTTAGAAAATGGGTATTTCTGCCATTGAAGAGAGAGAAAAGGGAAGAAAATAAGTGATCAGATTTGGGGATTCTTGTTCATAATAAAAGAAAAGAGGTGGGTTTTATTTGGGGGTTTTATATATATAATAAAAATTGCTCTGCCTCTTCTCTGTTTTTAATTTTAACAGAGGAGAGAGAGAGGAGAGAGAAAACAGGGGAATGAAAATGAAAATGGTAAAGAGAGTGGGATGAGTTGAGTGAGTGAGTGAGTGGGTTGGTTTTATTCGAGTTGTGGGTGAATGGTGGTGAAGTGGTGAGGAAGGAGCAACTTTGTATTGGACACATACACAAATTGCACACACCCTTTTTTTTATATAGTTTTTTTTTTTAAAAAAAATAATGAGTTCCCATTATTTTCAAACTTTGGATCTTATTTGGTTGTGGATGAGTAAAAAATTTGTGAGAGTCTAGGTCAAATAATCGGTTCGGAGTTATTGATTGTTGTCATAATATTTCATACCACTTATTTTTGGAGTTGGCAAGATATACCAAGTTATCAACTAATTAGTTTTATACTTCTATCCGTCAAAAAAAGATTAACACTGTTTTGAAAATGACCTTAATGAAGTTGTGTTTATGGCCCGCGATGTGGATAAATGATGAATATTTTATTTGATTTTATTTTAATGAAAGGGTGATGAAAAACACTATTAGAAGATGTTCATCACGAGGGGAACACCTAATGCAATTAATGATGATTTTGTAAAAGGTAAGGAAAAGGAAAAAAAATTAACAAAAAAACGTTCCTCAAAAGGGAATTCCTAATGTGATGCAATTAATGAAGAATACTGAATAATTGTTGTTTCTAACTCTACAAGGTCATTTTTTATTTATTTTTTTTTCTTATGAAGTTTAATGTTGAATGTTTTCTCATATGATTTACTCAATGATATGTTTAATTAATGATTAGTTTAATGAAAAGATTGGCTTATCAATTATTAGATGTCATGAGATCAAAACCTCATTAGAGTCAAATCCACCTACCTTTAAAAAATATATGTTGATAAGGAAAAAATATTGGTTAGGGAATAATTAGAACATGACTAAACATTTGCATTGGTGTAGATGTTATATTCTTGTTCTCATTGTTCTATTGGCTTAGTAACAACTTTTCTTTCCTTAAAATCGCTTTTTAGATAGACATTTATCATAATTTAACTCTAGAAAGTGAAAATTCTCAGTTCTATTTTACATTTATTTTTATTAAATAATTTAACATGCATAATAATTCGAGGCATTTTGGTTCGGTTGTTGATATTATATAACAAGTTGGAATCAAATCAACAAGTTTAAAGTGGATGATAAGATTTTAATGTCTATAGCCATATGCTTCCCCCATTCATAATGTCTCTTTCCTTCTCTAATTTATTATACTTGTATGCATGAACAAATAGATTAATGAATTAATGTAAATCCTACTCAAAATTAAAACCATGAACTTGCTTGATTGAACTAAATTAAATGAAAAAATGTAACCTAAAAATGGCTGAATTCAATCCAAACCCGAGCAAAATCAACCAAACATCCAATGTATCTCAAGATTTATACAAACTTACCCTAAACCTAATTAAATTTGCTACAAGCAACTTATGATTGACTCAACTTAGTAGCTTACATACACAAAAAAAAGTCAATTCAACTTAATCAAATATTGGCTATTTAGATTTTTGTTGGACTTAAGCATATTGCATGTTACATTGTTACTAGTCATTCTTGATTTTTTTTTCCCCAAAAGTAAATAAATAAATATTGCCCGTCGTATAATTGTCAGAGATATGAAGTGTATTTAGGATCTGTTCTATTAAAAATAAATTCTACTCCCTCGGTGTTTTTTTAAGTGTTATACTATGACCGACACATAGTTTTAGGCAATTTAATTGACTTAAATATAATAAGAGGTAAGTGGGGTAGTTGGAACATTAAAAAATTGTAAAAGAAATATAGTAGAGGTAATATTTTATTATTTAAAAGTAATGAATGTGAGAGGAAAGATATAATAAAAAAAGTTATAATGGATTTAGGTGGGGACCATGAGAGGAGAGAGATATAATATTTTAATGTAGCTTTTTGCCAAAAAAGAAGAGTAATACTTAAAAAAAAACACGGAGGGAGTAATAAAAGTTACCAATTACAAATCACAATTAAAATAAATTTAGTTTCAATAAGATTTGATTAGTTCAAATTTATTCAATGTAGTGAAAATCAGGTGAATAAAAAGCGCCCTTAGGATACACATTGGGAGAAAAACTAATTAAAATGAGGCAAAAAGATTAACAAAATAGCAAAAGATTTTAAAAAATAAAAAGTCACGAACATATGAGGGTCAACGTCAAAATAGTTAGTCAACTCAACAAAATCCGATGAGTGGTATTTTTTTTTTGGGACAGGAGTGGTACTTGTTTAAAACCAAAAATATCATCAACAATTGCTCACGGTCTCTTTTAGATGTACTCCGTATTTACATTTAGACAGGTTATCCTTGTACATCAACACACTAACGCGTCTCGCCTTCTTCTTTTTTTTTTGTGCACCAAATAGCACACTTTCACACATTCATTTAAACCCTCTCAAAAGTTAAAACTCATAAGACTGATAAACCCTCTAATGCAGAAAGCCAGAAGAAAAATGGTTATCTGGTTAACATACTACTAAGAGACCTAACTAATTAAAGATCTATTCGAATACATGAGTCATATCGCAACATGTTCATTACTAGTGCACAGTACACTAAAGAAGAAATTGCTTTACTCAATAGTAAATCATTTACATACTAATCTGGATCAATATGCCTGAAATACTTCTCAAACTGCATCAAATAAGGGGGGTTATATACTTCAGAATGTCAATTAGAAGCCTCGTTCAGGGTTGGATCAGGTGAACTTGGTGCAAGCTCGAGTGACACTGGGCAATGGTCACTTCCACAGAAACCTGAAAATACAGTAAAAATTAGAGTCAGATACGTCATTATTTTACTTTCTATCCTGTCTACTATCTTGGCAGATTCATCAATTTTGTCTTCCCTTTTTTTCTCTTATTTATATGGTCAAATTTCAAGGATGTAGTCGATGGTGCAGTATGTATTCACCCTCAGGACTCAGATCCACATATCCGGCTTACATTATTAAGAATGACTATTGTGAGAAGTAAAAAATCTCAAGAGATTATTATGAGAAATTGATCTTCAAAGTCGTAATATTAATCAAAAGTATGATTAATAAGAACTACAAGATAAACAATCAAGATTATCCATGTTAAGTTTTCCTTACAAAATCAGACATAACATACCATCCAACTCAATGCCCTGTCCATGCATCTTGCAGGATATTATTCGGTCCTTAAGCATTTCTGACACTAAAAAGTAATCTATCCTCATCCTTTTACCTCGATACCTGCAACAATTCATCATCATTTATTCAAAGCCTAACAAAGCAGCCATTTGTAGTCCTCTACTTAAATATACGATATAATGAATACGACAAGCATCCAAAGTCAGTTGAAGCCTTAAAAGCTTGAGTTGAGTTTCTTACTTGCCAACTGGGTTTCCAGACCATGAGAAGCCACACTCCATGTCCTTCTCCTCATGTAGAAATCTGTATGCATCTATTAATTTTCCCCTAAGGCATGATAAATATACATCAGAAAATCAATTTCATAGGATCTCTAACATAGATGAATACATCAACTTCACACACTGAGAGGAAACACATTCTGAGAATTTTGCAGCTAAAAATAGCTTGTTTAAAGCATTACATGATGAGATACTGATGCCTTGCCCCATCTTCCAAATTTTATGACAAACTCAACAAGAAGTTTAAAAGAGCAATCATAATCATACCCATCAACAAAAAGGGCAGCATGTCAAACATGATCAACTTTATAGGAAGTCACAGCTCTGCCCACCTTTGAATTGCTCCAAAGTCTGATTTTCCAGAAATTATAATGTTTAATACTTCGTAAAAAATGTCCCAAATGTCATTTCCAAAAGAATCAACATTGGCTCTTCCTAGGATCTCTAAGAGATACATAACAAAACATTTGGAGAGCACTTGAGGTGAGGAATGGAATTTAATGAATCTGTATCAGTCTACGACAGTTCAGCCTATCAGGAGACTGTCAATGGCCCAGGAATACAATATATCAAAAATCTAAAATAGACCTAACCTTAGCTTAAAGGGAGGAGCAATGTTGGTATTAGACTATAAAAATGTTAGATTTAGCTTGGGGAGGAAGGCAGAGTTGGTTAGTGCCTTAGTGGTGAGAGAGAGAACTTAGAAATGCTATATATCAAGGAGATCAGTGAGAAAAATATCAGAAAATTGATGGCTGAATAGTACTTGTTCTAGCTTGTTAGTTTGCTAGTATCCAGCCAATCTAAGGCCAGGAATTGTGAGCACCATTTGATAATTTAACTGCATCAAAGTACGTATTCATTTTTTTCCTTCTCTTCTTATTGCATTTCTACTTCTTAAGTTTTCAGTCTGTTACAAAAACATACTCTCATTTCAAACTCAAAAGATAGATGAACATGAATCCAATTCCAAACACAGAACTTACTCTCTCAGCATGGTACCAAAACGTTTCCTTTCAGATATAGTGAATCCAGGCTGCCCACAATCCTGCCAAAAAGTAAGGTGAAAGCCAGCTCAGCCACTTGAATGCAGTTAAAATCATTCAAAAGACAAATAGAACCTAGTTGCATATCCTAGTTAACATCCTTTCCATATAAGCATGGGAGGAAGAAACAGGCATATGTAACAAGTATGCAGATTATGTAATGTGCTGCAAAATACTACAGATGTGTGCATAAATTCTTTGAGCTTAAATATGCATTTTCACCTCTTTATTTGGAGGAATATAGCCATTCATTTTTGCTGCAGCAAAGAAATCTGGATGACTTACATCAATATCTTCATGGCTGCAGAAATTCATGGTAGTCACTCTAGTCAGTTTGTAAGAGTAAGTTTTCCGAGAACAGTTTCACTGCAATTGCATAGATTAGTTTGCCTATTTCTGACACACCCCACAACCATACTGATTGGAAGCCTCATCAGAGGCACATGGCTACAGGTTATAATGGTAAGGATATAATTACGAGTTCAGAGCCACCAGAAACGTGAGAGCACGAAGTTTGGCATAGCACATATAGATTGCAGATCCTAATTTAAGATGTTCAAATTTATGCAAATTAACAAATTAATAATTACATTTGAACGGAGGGAGTACTGTGACATTGAAAAGAAAGATGATGGAAAACATATGTTAAGAGGCCAACAGGAAGAGTGGGCATCAAGGAATGACATGTACACATAGTCGACATTGAAGGATAGCCATCCTCCTTTCCTCTACTGCTCCCCTTCTTCATTCTATACATGAGACTTGTATTTCTATCCTATTTCCAAAAATTACCCTTCCTTCTTAAATTTTCAGCATGTAAACAGAGTTTCCATCACTAGCATTCATAGTAGGGTAGATGTCTAGAGAATTTGTCATAATCAAGTTCATTTGGGAGTGCTGTTACACTAGTGACATAAGGTGATAGGTAAAACTAAATTATGTAAAATGTGTTAGTCCAATGACATACATCAGATAACTACACTGTATTCAAATCCATGAGTACTAAAAATAAACAGATAAATATTAACTTTTTTTGTCAAATCAATAAAGCACCATTTTACCCAGGTCCTAAACTTGCGAGAAACATACTAAACTACAGACATACTACAATGTAATTAAGAAGGCAACCCTGCTAACTAGAGATAGCATACAATTATCATCTTACAAAGGAACCTTAGTAGAGTGATTAGGTTAATGATATAAACATGTTGTATTGTCTGGCCGAGTGACCGCAGTGGTAAAGGAACCAAAACTCAGCCAGAAGAGGTGCCTTATCAATCAGCAACAAAATAATAAGCTAAGCGCCTGTGACAAAACATTCAAATCCATTCGGACAGACATGATTAATCTTAGTCTACATCACGTCATCTTTTCCACAACTATGGTCCATTTACCTTGAGGAACAAATAATCAAGAGGGTCAGCAAAAAGAAAGCCATCTCTTATCCATCCACAAAAAAAGACTTAAGCTATATCTATGTAGAAAGATCAAATCAATAAATCTAAAAAACTGATTAAGCACAAATGAACATATACTGTTTAGTAAGCAGCTACCTCACATTCAAATCACCACACCAAATAAGTGGTTTATCAGATAACTGCAAGACAAGCTCCAACATCTTCTTATCCCATTTTCTTCTCCTTACAAATGAGGATTCCTCTTCCTTCCAGCCATTGTTGGGCACATATGTATTTATAAAGCGCAATGACTCAAATTCAGCCAATATCAAGCGACCATCAGATTCATGCTTTTTCACTATGGAAAACGTGGAAAAAAAAAATCAAGGTTCAGTCATGGATGACAAAGTACATAAACAACAATGTACAACGCATTATGTACAAAAGTTCCTTTATGTTTAAGAATCAGAAAAGATCAGATAAAGAACCCAATGCAGCAGCAACAACAACAACAAACCACTCTAGAGCACATAAACAATACTCTTTATTTGAGTGTTTACACCTTTACCACACTGTTATATCAAGTGCCAGGACAAAATATAAATATTGTAGGGTTAAGACAAGAATTAATTGTTTAGACAAAAAAAAAATGAAAGCAGAGAAAGATGTTCTAAATATGGAACCATAGGGAAAACAAATAAGCTAGCATGAATGTGTTAAAAATAAGTTAAGACCTGAAGTATCACATGCTCTTTGTAGACATTATCATTAACCATATTTACCCACCAATTGTTGAACATTCTTACCAGAATCTCAAAACAATCACTAAACCAATTGCTTTAAATGTGAAACCACATTGTTATACACCAAAGTGCACACTGAGTAGACTGATTAATCAACTTTTTTCTTTTCAACCAAATATACATGCCCATGCAAGGTGAAACTTGCCGGGCAAAATAACTAAAATGCATTCTTGCATTCTAAACGAAGAACAAAAATTCTGTGTGCATATTTTACTAGAATGAATTTGCATAATTGCACCCATTGACATATATGATGATACTGCAGTGAGTAGTGACGCCACAGTGAAGTGTTATGACTACATGGTCCGGAAAACAATAACAGAAAAGGTGATAGCAGGAACATCATAGAAGGAAATAGAACATAAAAGATTGGGAATTGAGAGTAAATAAACACTAAAGGATAAAATCTGGTTATCAGGAAATACCTGAAGGATCTAGAGAGAAGGAGATCTTTTTTGGCTTGAAGCATTTCTTCACAAGCAATGCAGTCCCAGCATACTTGGAATCTGCTAGAGACCACCACACACGATAATTTCCAAATGGAGGACTTGAAAGGGCCCGCATCAACACCTGGATGATTGGTCATGAAAACGTTGAAAACATGAAAAAGGAAAAGAAACCATACTTCATGTACATTATAGTTGAATTGGGTGCCTCAGAATATATATGAACTATGAAGCATTAGCTAAATATTACTGGATAATTTAAATCATAAATACTGCAATTGACACATCATTCACAATTGAGTGATTTCTTATGGTTTGAGGTTGCAATAAGAAATCTACAAACACCCTATGAAATGACCAAACTATTATTTTTATAAAATGATAGAAGTGGAAATCTATTTAGGGGCTTAGGGCCAGTAGAATGATAACACATTCGCCTTTTAAATTATATTATCGAGTATTATTAGATAACAGGTTATCCATTCAGCTTTACCTCACACATAATAATACAATTATAGTGTGCATGGGCTGTCAGTCAGATGGTTAATGACTTCACGATAACAAAAACTAACTTACTAGAAACACAATTACATGATAGAACACATGATTATGCAGGCTGTGAAGAGGGAAATTTTACCTTCTTTTCTTCACGTGAGGCATTTGTGTCATCCTTTAGCTCGCCTTGGTTCTTGGATGCGCCCTTGGAACCAGCAGCAGGCATCCTTACTTCCTACTATGAATGAACTACTTGTAACATATTCTTTGTAAAGTATTAAAAAGCTTCTTTGCTATTGTAACTTATCACAGGTGAAGTTATGCAAAATTAAACAAGGAGAATAAAAAGCTCTAATTAAAAGATAACAGTGCAATGACAGGAAAATTGCCAAAATCCAGAAGGGCATATTCACTATCCAGACTCCAGAAACATCTCTCAAGTGCCATTTAAATGAGTCCCTAAAATCCTACCTAGCTCAATTAGCCTTAAACCTGGCATTCTATCTTTTGTTTGTTTTCATTGAAAAATAACAGAAATATATACCGAGTCTGAAAAACAAAACAAATTATTCAGTTCAGAGGGTTAATCTCTCTCAGAATAACAAATTGTTCATTTCCTGGTAAAACTCAATTTTAGTTTTTGGTGATATTGATCCATGGTTACCTTAGATTGGAGTTATAGCAAACTACTAAATCATCCTTCACGTTATCATGTCAGTAGGAACAACTGCCATGTCATTTTCTAACTATTTCTTTAAAAATCCTGACAAATACAAACAAAACAAAATCTAATTTACACATTATAAGTAGAACCAACAACATAGCAAAAAACCCTAAAATCTCCTTAAACATGAATAAAATGCAAATCTCAGCAAAATTATTTAATAACAAAGGTTTAAAACCTAAAATCTCCTTAACTATTAATAAAATGCAAATCTCAGCAAAACTATTTAATAATAGAGGTTTAAAAAATTGCTACATTACTGCAATAAAAATGATAATGCATTATCAATCAATTTATCATCAATAACCCAAACCAAAAAGAATTAACTCAAATCATCAGTTGCCCACATTCTAAAACCCTACAAATTCCAAAACCCATGAACTAAAATGCAAAACTTGTAAAATTAATCAAATGACCAGATGATAAAATGGGGTCACTTTGCTACAACATAAATGACAATACATTCAATTATATCATACTAAAATCCCACAAAAATCAAAAACCCATGAGCTAAAACACAAAATTAAGCAAAATAATCAAATACCCAAATAACAAAATTGACAAAGAAAAGCTTGAATCACCTGTATAGCAATGATATCAGGATCAAGAGAAGAAACCAGCTTGGAGAATTCAGACCAGTTGTTTTTGGCACGAAGAAGTAAACTATTAGCATTCCATGTCAAGAACTTTAAGGGCTCTTTGCCGTCATCTTTAGATTCTCTCTCTTCTTCTTCATTGTCATCTTTGGTTGAAAGTGCAGGTTTTTTGGAAGAGCCATCTTTCTCTATTGGTTGGAAAAATCGCTTCATACTGATACTCTCCGCTTGGTTCTTTCACTTGCACGGAGCTTGGCTACAAGCCTACAAGAACCCCAAGTTGGTTTGGAATTTGCACAATGATCCTTTTTATTTGTATTTCAGCAATCTTTCATTTTGGCCTTTTGGGTTTAAATTGGATTTAAAATTACTTTGTACTTTGTATATCTTTGTATACCTCTTCGGAGACATCTGATTAAATTGGAACGATACAGAAATTATACCTTTGTTTAGAGGCACACATTAGCCGTGTAAATGTACAATTAGAGGTGTTAATTTGGATGCACGGGTTAGGTTTGATAAGGTCATGTCGGATTGGGTTTAATTTCAAACTTGAGTCATGTTAACTTATGTGTCTATAAGAGTTGAAATCTGAATCAAATATTTTTCGGTTCGGGTCAGGTCGGTCAAGTCACTACGCTTGTGCAAGTCCTTATGTTAAACCAAGGTTGTCTAGTGTTTAAGTAGCTTTTGGAATGGATTAAAAAAATACTTGGACTATTAACCTTAACGCCCATGAACAACTTGACTCAAGTGTCAAGCTAGAACATATTAATTATGTTTAATTTTAAATTAAAATAGTATTTAAAAAAAAGTTAAATTGTTGTGTTTATGACAAATATTAAAATTGTAATTCATGCACAGTCCATGTCCCACTAGCATAATTTTTGTGATGTGTTATGTTATGCTTGTTTTGGAATTAGGTTTGATTCATACTTTTTTGTCCTATAAACTTATACTCAGTACTCCGTATATAAAACATTGCTTTTAATACCTCTGTTTCATATTATTTGCAAAGATTTAACATAAAGAAGAGAGGAAAAATCTAATCGTTGCAAATAATATAAAACGGAGGTAGTATAACAAAGGAAAAATTAGAAATAATAATCCCAACTTTGTCTAATTTATGCAGAATAATCCCAACTTTCGTTAATACTGGAATAATCCGAACTTTGGGGGGTCTTCTTTTTCTTCAATCCCAATTACCGGTTACCTGTTGAAAAGGTTATTTTTTTATTTATATATATTAATGCCACGTGTCATGAGCTAATTAGCCAAAAAATAATAATAAAAAAAAACAAAAAAAAAAAACCAGATTTCCATCCCCGTTGCTCACCGAATCTCCAGCCACCACAATCCCACAACCCTCCTCCCGCCGTCCACAACCCTCCTCCCGCCGTCAAGCCGCACTAATCCCGGTAAACCCCAGTCGTCCTTTCCCCTTGAACCACCACCCTCAAACTTTCCCGCAAAGTCGCAAACCCACGAATCTCCTTTACCGTCAACCTGCTCCAGCCACCACCACCACTCGAAACCTCCACAAAACCACCTCGCGAAAACCCTCAAACCACTCGAAAACCCTTAAAACCTCCTCCCTTAGTCCCGAAAACCCCCCAAAACTCCTCCCCCACCATTGAAAACCCTAGCCGCAAGGGTTTCGAGGTGGAGGAGGAGTTGTTTGGGGTTTTTTCAGAGTGGGAAAGGGGTTTTTTTTGTGGTGGTCTGGTGCTTGTGTGGAGGGATTGGAGGGTATTTCGGGGAAGGGGAAAAATGGGCGGTCGGCGTGGGAAGATTGGCTGTCGGCGATCGACGGTAGACTCGGCAGTGGTGGTGGTTAGGTGGGGGTTAGGGTGGGACGGTGTGGAGGGGAGGTTGGTTGGGTTTCTGATTTTTTTTATTTTTTGTTTTTGGTTTTTTTTTAAATTTTTAGACCAATCAGGACTTGACACGTGTCAAGTGACCTGATATAATAGGTCATTGACTTTTGTTGACCGGTTAAGGATTGAAGAAAAAGAAGACCCCCAAAGTTCGATTATTTCGGTATTAACGAAAGTTGGGATTATTCTGCATAAAATAAACAAAGTTGGGATTATTATTTCTAATTTTTCCTATAATAAACAATAGAAAAACCCAAATTTGAGATTTATCATGTGCAATTGAATTCAACTAACTTAAAATTAATTTTAGTCGTAAACCACATTAATTGTAATCTATGTATCATAATTTATCCAAAATAAGTCAAATTAAATTCAACATAACATTATTAGGCAAAAAAACATAGTGCAAATTAACATAACTTTGTCATGTCAACAACCTCAATTGCAAATCAAAATGAGAGGCCAGGCTAATTTCCCTTCAAATCTCCAAGGTAGGACCATTATATTGCACCATACAGAGTGGCTGGTCACAGATAAAGCAATCCATAATTTCTCTAAGTTCTAGTACTAGAGGAGAGAGAATATCACACATTCTCTCAAAAAAATTTCCAATGGCTTCTTTAGTCATTTACTCACCATCAACAGTAGCTCCTTCATCTTCCCACACAAAATTGTTCAAAATTTGCAATTTTAAGCAGCAAAATGCTAAAATCTTATCACCCTCTTCTTTGTTTGGTAAAAATTTAGCTATTTCTAATGATTTAAACACACAAAAATTAATGAACATGAAAAAAAGATCAAGTCTTGTAAATTGCTCTGTTACATCCCCTGCTCCTCCAGCAGCTCTTCTCTTTGATTGTGATGGTGTTCTTGTTGATACTGAAAGGGATGGTCACCGAGTTTCTTTCAATGACACTTTTACTGAAGTATGTTCTTCACATTCTTTTAAATTTTTTTGTAGAAGATTTTTGGGTATTTAATTGCTCTATTATGTATATAATATGATCAACATTTGGTTGTTTTTTTAGCATTTTGATTATAAAATGTACTACTTGAGTGAAGATTTTTTTGAAATGGGTACTTACTGGTTTTGCACTCGTGTACATTAACAATGGTTATAGTTTTCTGAGGTATACCTGGGTGCACGATAGAGGTTCTAAATTATCAAGTTATCAATGCTACTTGTACCGCCTTTTTTTCACTCTAAGCTAGTGATTGACCATGTATTCATGTTCATGAATTCTAAATTAAGTTGATAGATAAAAGCAATTTCAGATTGAATTTTAATGGGATTTTAGGTGAAGATTTTGCCTAGTTTCCCTAGTAGATTATGTTTTGGGTGAGGAGAAATGTTGAAATTTTGGTGATTTCTTAGGGTTTTATGGTTTATGCTTCAACATCTTCATGAATTCATTTCAGACTTTTGAAATTTGAATGAATGCACAGAGGGGACTGGGTGTCTCTTGGGATGTGGATTTGTATGGTGAATTGCTCAAGATTGGAGGTGGAAAGGAAAGGTAATACTATCTTTTTAATCCTTGTGTCAAAAGCTACTTACTGCAATTGTCACGTCGCCTTAACCCCTCATAATTAAGTATATCATGTGATTTTACAACATTATCCTTATAATTGGATTCCCACCATACCACTTATTAAGAAATTTAATCAAGAATTTAAAAAATATTAGGAAATGCGACAACTTTTTCATGTCATTCTAAAATGTTATATTGTGAACAAAGAATTTATATTGATTTAGGATGAAGGCAGTACATAGTATGGAGTCTTGTGTGTCTTGAACTTTCTCCACCTCCTTTTCGACGGCATTCTTTTCCACCGTTAAAATATTGCATATGTTTATTAACACAACTGAATTACCTTCTTATGCCTTAAGCATTGTTGATTGTATACACTTATGCTTGCTTGTATAGGATGACCGCCTACTTCAACCAGGTGGGTTGGCCAGAAAAGGCTCCTTCAGGTGATGCAGAGAGAAAAGAATTTGTTGCTTCTTTGCACAAGAGAAAGACAGAGCTGTTTATGGCACTTATTGAGAAGAAGCTGCTGCCTCTTCGGCCAGGTGTTGCTAAGTATGTTACTCGAGTTTATGCTTGTGTAAAGTGTTTGTTTTCATCTTAGCTGTGGAAGTGACATCAAACAAATTATGTGCAAATTAAACATTGTTGGAGGAATCACACATTCTTGGCCACTTAACCATATTTCCCTAAACATGGTAAAGAAGCAAAAACAAGTTGTGTTATGGCCTCCATGTACATATTATCTTCAAACTTTGTCAGGATATAGCGCCTTTTTTAATGATGGAACTGCTTTCTGTTCAGCTGTATAATCTCATCATTATGGAGAGGAGACCTAGTAGGTCTAGCTTTTTTCAGATTTCAGTCAACATGAGACTTGTAGGATTCACAATTAAACAAATCAAGTCCTCTGAATTCTTGTTCATTTACAAGATATTCTTGTGTCTTGTTTATCATATTATCAGGCCATTATACATACAAGTATTACAAATTTGTTCAGCTCCACATTTCAGAAGATTATCTAGCTTATAATGAGCCACAAAGGGCAATGATGTAGATAAAATTTGATCCCAAGACTTGGATAGCACTGGACATTTGCACATTATTATTAGAAAGTACATCAATTTAGTTGTTTACTCTTCAGGTAAAAAGATCTGGAATGTTCTGTTCTCATATTGTGCAGGCTGATTGATCAAGCTTTGGGAAAAGGAGTCAAAGTTGCTGTGTGCAGCACATCCAATGAAAAAGCGGTATGCTATGTGTTTATATGCTAAAGCCAATAGCTTTCAATCTCAATATCTGAAAACATTCTGAACAATAAAGATTTATGAGAAGGCGGTATAACATTAGTTTCATTAATCCGAGCTATGATGCCCTGACTCGCATAGGTTGCTAGATCAACATTCAAAATCCTTAAGAAATACAACCAAAGAACAGTGATCAACTGTATAACAGTTTGATTTTATCAATTACGCTTGACCTTCATAGTTCCTTGGAACCAGAAATCACAAGCACCCGCTTTTATTCCTTATGGAAAGACTAATGTGAGGATGCCCCAGTTTCTCATGGTGAGAAACAAATCTTGTTTCTCACATGGCATTTTCGTAAATAAACCAACAATTTTATTCAACTTTACTCAACTGTGGAGTCCACAATAATGAAAAAGTTGTTGATTTATTCACGAAAATGCCCCCATGAGAAACAAATTTCGTTTCTCACCATGAGAAACAGGAAATTTCCCCTTTTGGAATCAGCTTGATAGATGCACTGAACACTGAACGTATTGGTTTCAGGTCTCTGCAATAGTTTCATGTTTGTTGGGTCCTGAGCGAGCAGAAAAGATGCAGATTTTTGCAGGAGATGTAGTCCCTCGGAAGAAGCCTGATCCAGTAAAGCCTCTTTCCTTGTCCTTTCATTTGATATTCATTTAACTGTACAGAGTATATATTAGTATCATCAGGCTTCATTTAATTGTACATAGTATATGTTGCCCTCCAACTTAATCATCTATATTTTCTTGTGTTTTCTTGCTGAGTAAAGCTATCAGTTTTCTTGTTGATTCGTTTATTCTTAACAGGCCATTTATACACTAGCATCCACAACCCTCGGTGTTGACCCTGCAAGGTACTGAAGTAGTTATTTCATGATTTTCTTTTGTAATAGCTAGAAATAAAGGCTTTAAGATGTTAAGCTGTGCTATAAGATCAACAAAAATATACGTAGTAGATCAAATATTAATGTTCTTTCAATGTTCACAGTTGCGTTGTGGTAGAGGACAGTGCCATTGGTCTTGCAGCTGCCAAAGCAGCTGGAATGAAGTGCATAGTGACCAAAAGCGGGTAGGTTGCTGCAGTCTTTAGACTATACACAGTACACCATTCTGAATTTTGCATCAGATCATTACTGTCAAACTTATGATTATTACTGAATGAACTCTCTATCTGTTGCAGTTACACTGCTGAAGAAGACTTTGAGAACGCTGATGCAGTTTTTGATTGCATCGGAGATCCACCAGAGGAAAGATTTGACTTGGACTTTTGTGGGAGCCTTGTTGCAAAGCAGTATGCTAGTTAATATAACCTGTTTATGAGTTGAAGACGAGAGTTTGTAATTATCCAAGGCTTTTAGTGAATGTACAAGCTTTGAGCACTTGAATATATCAATCAACTTAAGTACTTTACTCCATATTTTATAGCAGTAAAGATCACTGATTTTTTGTAATGAGTTAGCTCACTTCTTCTCGTATGTAACAAGCTGTGAATGAAAATCTCACTTCATTGTTTTTTACAATAACGAGTTATAGAGTATTATTTAGATACTATCAATTTTAGGGTCTATTCACATTTACTGAACTGAATTGATTGGAGTTGAGCTAAACTTTATAGAGCTGAAATAAATATTTTATGAGAGAAGAAAATTAGGAGCTGAACTGAAATTAAGCTGAAGTGAATAGGTCTTTAGTAAGGAGCGTTTAATGAGAGTCTGTTTGAAGCATAACTGTGAGTTTTGGTTATGACGAGAGAAGAGAAGTGTATAATGGGAAGAATGAAGGTTTCGCTAAGGAGTGGAGATATTCAAAACAAAAGTTATGAGCAAGAAAATGAAATGAATGAAGGCTAGGCTGGGTAGTAGAGATTTAGGTGAATAGTCCCATCAAAATTAACACATGCACATTTACTTTATCCAAAATACCTCACCCAAGACCTAAACTCTACCTAAAATCATTGTTTATCCTGACTTATAATAGACTTGACAATCAATGTTTCTAATCATGATTAGTTTATTTAAAATAACTAAATAAGTATATTGGCAATAGAATCAAAAATGACTCAACCTGAACTCAAAATCTATTTAAACGAGTCATACTAAAAAATGACTACACCTAAATTGATTCAATCCAAATGACTCGATTACCATCTCTACGAAATCAGCTTCTTTTTAAAAATCATTTAAACCAAAAGAAAAGAGAAATGATGACCAAAATTAGCTACACAAGTACACTACCATTAGGGCATTAGGGGGTACGTGATCAAAAGCATTTATTTTCTTTTCCTTCCCCTTTTAAAGGGTACACTGTACACAAGATCTAGCACATTTGTACCAGTAGGAATTAACAAGTGGACCTACTCATATTCTTCATACAGTTGCTTCTGACATTTACAGAATCAGACCATTTAGGACTAAAAGGCCTCATAATAAGAGCAGTCATTATTAGCACTTTTGCATTTGCCAAATTTGTGATAAATCAACTTGCACTTTCATAAGTTTGATCTTATAGTACGTAGACGTCCTACGGATTACCTTTGTTTTTTTTCTCTGCTGGAAAAGTGGTAATGACCTCATTAGATATTTGAATTACTCACTCAACTCTAATCTCATAACACCACAACTGAGAATTAAAAAGTGACTTCATCTACAAATTTACATCCACACCATTGAAAAGGTAGGACTAATAAAGTAATAATCAACTGAACATTCATATTGAGTTATATCGTAATATATTATACTTTCAACAATCAAATAAACAATCATCTACTCGCAAAGGTATTTTTTTGCCCATCCAAATAACCAATTACTCGTAAACTCATCATACATGTCGTTTAACAATAACTTTTATACAACTCTAATCTCATGACACCACAATAACGACATACAACCGATACAACTTACAAGTATGTAATTCGTACCACACACTCAACTCCAATCTCATGACACCACAATAACGTACAACCGATACAAGCATACACTAATAAACTTTCTATTTATATCAATAATCAAAAACCAATAATCATTCCTTGGGAATATTTTTTTTTTTTTTAAGACACTAAATTTAATGAAGGTATAAAATCAATGAATAAATCAAATACGAGTAAATTTTTTAATTTTTCTAAAAACGACCTCAGTATCAAGCCCAAACCCATCAATACCCTTAACATAAACCACCTCAGAATGCTTAAACAACTTAACCAACGGATCAACACTGAACAAATCATTAGCAGAATACTTATCAGCCCGCTTAGATACCGCCACGTGTAACACACAAACCCCACCAACCTTCAACGTCCGTTCGATCTCCCCCACAAATTTCCCCGGAAAAAGCGCGTGATCAAACACATTCGAAAACTCAAAATCAAAAACCTCATCATCGAACGGCTGAGAATGAAAGTCCCCGAAAACAACCAACGGTGGATACGGCACCAGATCGATCCCAACTGAGTCACTCACTCCGACTCGTTTAAGCGCGGCGACTTCTTGCCCGACTCGAGCCCCGATGCAGAGGGCTTTGGAGTGGTTAGAGAGAAGGTGGGAGTTTTGAAGAGAGAGAAAGAAGAGAGAGAAAACGTGGATTTTACGGGTCCAATCTCGGGTGAGCCAGATTTTACGGAGTTTAGGGTTTAGGGTTTTGTGGAGTTGGTGGGTGAGGTAGGATTGGTAGGAGTTGGTGTAATCGGGTCGGATAATGAGGTCGGCGGGTTTGGGTCGGGTTGAGGAGAGAGAGAGGAAGGTGAGGAAGATGAAGAGAGGAGGGAGGAGAAGGAGGAGTGGGAGTTTGGGGATGGTGGGAAGTTTCATGGTTGTTGTGTTATGTGATTTGTTGCATGGGAGTGTAATGGGGTTTATTTTTTTGGAATTGAATATTGGGTTTGTTGTAAATTTTATATTCTCCGTACTCAACTGTTTGTGTAATTGTGTGTGGGACGTATGATCGTATGAAAGGGCGTCGCTTAAGTGACTATGAGTGAAGCAGTAGGGCACTACTAGTGCTGTATAGGTGTTAATTCGGATGTTAGATTGAATTCGGTAAAGTTAAGCTGGGTCTATTTTTGTCTAAGTTATGTTAAATTATTATGTCTAAGTTAAGGAGTTATGTTAAATTATTATGTCTAAGTTAGTTTATTTATGTCAAATTAAGGAGTTATGTTAAATTATTTATGTTAAATTAAGGAGTTATGTTAAATTATTATGTCTAAGTTAGTCGAAATTTGAATCGAATTTTTTTGGGCTGAATTTGATTGAGTCGAGTTGAATTGGGTGTTGTTTTAACATTTCTATCCATGTAAGGATGATGTGAATAATTATGTGGATTGCTAAACATCGCCCGCAAATCTCCACATAAAGCCCACAAACTTATATTGAAGTTACAATATTGCCCTTGACCTTAAAAAAAAAAACACAACCTCAATAAAAATCAAACTACGGGGATGTCGAGGCTCGTGGCGGCAAGGTGGTTGGCTTGTGGCGGCAAGGTAGTGGTGGCTCGTGGCGGCAAGGTGGTGGTGGCGCCAGGTCCGGCAGCCACGTCCACCGGCCTGGCGTCTGGGCAGGACGCCCAGCCACGGTGAGTGGCGTTTGGGACAGGCGCCAGTCACTGTGGCTGGGCGTCCTGCCCAGACGCCAGGCCGGTGGACGTGGCTGCCGGACCTGGCGCCACCACCAGCCACGGGCCGTCCTGGCCAGGCGCCCCAGCTGCCTTAAATTTTTTTTTTTTAACTTTTTTTTTTTTTTTTTTGGAAAATCAGAAAATTTTTCTAATTTTTTTTTAATGTGTTTGATTTTTTTTTATAATAATTATTAATTTTATGTGTTATTTTTTATAAGTCTAGTATATATATTTTTTATAAAATCAAATAAAAAACATAAATTTCCACATCCTAAATCAAAACATAAATTTAATAAACATAATTTAAAAAATAAAAAAAAAAGCAAAAAAAAAAAAAAATTTAAAAGTAAGGGCGGCGTCCAAACCAGACGCCAGTGCACTGGTGGTGGCGCCTGGCCTGGACGCCAGTGCACTGGTTGAGGCGCCTGGGCTAGACGCCAGTGCACTGGTTGTGGCGTCTGGCCTGGACGCCAGTGCACTGGTTGTGGCGCCTTGCCTGGACGTCCTTGCCATGGTTCCGGCGTCCAAACTAAGCGCCACCTCGTTTTCCGTCGAAGACGACGTATCTCCGGCGACCCTCGCCTCTCCGGCCTCCCTGGGCAACCCAGTACGACTCCACATTTGTTAGATCGAGATTTGTTCACTTTGGGTACGATTTTAGAAATGGGCAAAATTGTCAAACCATGTCTAATTTGTGGGCTTTATGTGGAGATTTGCGGGCGATGTTTAACAAATCCCATAATTAAATACTCTTTATACGGTATATGACCCTTTTTCCATCGATAATGCTATTAAATTATCCAAGTTCTAAAATATGTTCTGGTTTTACTTTCCTAAAATTAAAAAAGGGACTCTTTTACGATTTTTTTATTTTATTTTTTATATTTTACCAATTTAGAAGAAACCGCTACTTTATCCATTGGATGTTATTGTGGTTTGGTTTTTAGATTTTAAAAGTCATATAATATACTTCGTATTTGATAAAAATAAAATAAAATAAATTGTCAAATTTATTAGAACCATTTACCTATTTTGGATTGTCCGGAAAGGTACGTCAAACCACCTTTGGAATTACATCATTTATTTCAAACGAATGCTTCAACTGATATAAAGTGGTTCCCAACAACTTAAAAGAGCAAATGGTAACGAACAGGCCCATAAATAAAAAGACTAAAAATGGTAAGAAGAAAAGTGTACATGATGGGATGATAGATGTGAGTCTCATGACATTTAAAGGCAATGCAAGGATTATCTGATCTACTTGAGACTTTGAGAAATGAGAGGTGGGTTTAATTCAGTTGTACATATTTGTCACCTGAATTCTACCCTATCCTTTTTTTTTTGGGTGATTTGTACAGTTGTACTTTTGCTTATTCTTTTGTGGTTCATGCTTTTATACTTCCTTCAACATGGATTTTTGCATAAAAATAGAACTAACATGGAGTAATATTTTATTGCACGAAATTTCCTATATATTTTCGGGATAATTGATACATTTCTCTCTTTTGTCCATTGTAAAATAGCTTATCACTTAACACGTTTATATTGATGGAAAAGAACAATCATTGTTTAATATTCCGATCCGTAGAATTCTCACTAAATGTACTATACAGTAAAAGCTCCTTTTATGATCTCCATTCATAATTTTCTTAATCTAAAACAGTGGGAGGAATTGAATGAAAAAACAGTAGACCTAATTTTTTTTTTAAAAAAAAAAAAAAAAAAGTTACACCTTTTATTGTATTTAATTTGTTATGTCAAAGTTAATAAAAAGTTTAAAACCTCTTGTTGTATCTAGCGATTGATCCGATATTCAAGTTTTATGTTTGTCTTATGAAAGCTGCCTGATTTATTATTCTGATATATGAATATACTCCATGTAATTACATTCAAGGAATTTAACTTTTTCCACTACATCTTGATGCTATACATACAGAAGCACACTGATCCTATCAAAAGTGTAACAATTAATCACTAGCACCACCCTTTTCCTCATACTTTGATTGCATGCTATTCAATATCACCACCTCTAAAGCCACAGCACCCGCGACAATCAACGCAAGCAGACCTTGACTACCGCCCCCTGAAGCACCCTCACTTTCAGCAACTTCGCTTGCAGCAGAAGCACTAGGCACAATAACAGCACTTGATGCAGCAGTTAATAGCCCACCAAGTCCGAGTCCAACGAGTGTCATTTTCTCGCTTCTCATTCTGTTAATCTGGTTCAATGCAGGTCCCAGGATGTTGAAGAGCACCCATCCTACAGCAGCTGCAACAGGCACCAGAAGGATAAGGCCTCGGTTATCTTCCTGAGGCGACTCGACTATTTGCTTTGCTGCTAAGGCTAAAGGGGAAGTAGCAAGGGGTGAAAAGACAGTACTAGCTACTGCCAATTTTTTAGCAAAAGACAATGGTTTATCAGGCTTGTTAGACGGTTTTAATGACCGGGAAACAGGTAGCAAACCGGGTTTTGAACATGATGAACTAATGATGAAGTGATACTTGGGGATGTGGATTGCAATGGAGGATGTTGTTGCAGCCATGGAGTTTACACGAATAAAGCGAATAGAGTGATTTTGAGTTGTGTGAGGTTGAAGGAGCAAGTTTACTTTTATGTAATGCGCAGGAGAATATTCGAGAGGATTGAAAGGGGGTGTCCTGGAGAATTCTAACAAGAATCCAGCAAGTTCTCTTTCGTTTGTATGGACACTGATAAACTGTATGTAAAATGCAATCACATCCACAAATTGTAATGTGCAATAATAAGTCATTTTCAAGACAATTTATTTATGTACGACTCAATTTTATTTTATTTTTGCTGAATCAGTGGGATACAAGAGACTCATGCCCATACCTGGTTTTGGGCAAGCTATCCAGCCGAGTAGCGAAACCGATGATTAGCAGTTCAAACCTGCATGCAGTCTTATCACTGTTACTCGTAACTGATCAATAATTTGATTGTATTAGCCAAACATCACAAACCAGCAAATTTTGAGGTTTTCTAGTCCAACCATATAAAACTTCAATGATATGAATAAGATCTTAGTCAAGATCACATTCTTATTATTATCTTGACAAAAACAAAGAAAAATTAAATCACATTTCCTGCTTGGATAATAAACTGTGATACAGATCAGTGATCTCTGATGGAAAATGTCATTGGCTAGTGTAATAATTGGCTAATTTTGTTTGATCCCTATATACAGCGATGAAGTGACCTGATTTTGTACCAAATTACTTTCCTAATAAAATACACAGACCCGATCAGCAGAATACAGCTTTACTGAAGGACTTCCCAGGGAAAAGGCTGAGGAAACAGCGTAGATACTAGTTTCCATGATGAGCAATCAGCATAAGTTGTTCGTACCACTCACAATTCCCTCAAATTCATGAGGTCAACTGGTCAAGCACATAGAAACAATCATTGAACGAGATTATCCTTGACCTGGTGTGATACGACTCTGGTCAGCAATATCTAAGTTGAAAATGCATGTTCCCAGAAACATGAAACCTTCTACTATCGATGACAATCTTGTAGCTGACCTACTGTACTGGCCCATGTGAATATGTGATTACCAAAACCAGATACATTACTCAGTCACTCAGCACAGGAATGCTAAGGCAGGCATGATGACCATTCCTTCAGCTACATATTGCAGGATATTACCATGAATAATCAGCTAAAGACAATGGATGGCGTAGATTCTCAGCCAAGGCATTTTTGCAGACGAATCCAATTTTTTAGAAATGTGAAATGATTACAGAAAATCCCATCAAACTCTCTCATTGGGTCGTGATTTCACCCCCAATCATGGAAAGGATAAATCTATTCTGAACCATCTTGGATGTATATCTTTTTCCAACTTCATCCAAATTATTCCTGCATTATGCTTGAAGGGAAACTTTTGCATATCTTGGACAGAGCCATAACTTTAACCATGTTAGATTTGGCAGAATCTAAAAGGGGATCAGCCTGCAAAGCCTTATCAAAGCAGAACTTTGCTTCATCCAGTAGGCCCTGAACAACAAATACAAGACCTAGATTGTTGTATGCAGGAGCATATCCAGGTTGAAGCTTAAGTGCTTTTGTAAACATAGCTTTTGCACTATCGTATTTCTTTTCCTGCCTGTACAAATTCCCTAGGTTTGAAAATATTGCATGTGCTTGCTGAGAAGAGGCCAAAATTAAAGCTCGTTTGAAAGCTTCCTCGGCTTGAGACGGTTCATCTGCTAATTGTAAAGAGATACCAAGATTGGACCATGCATAACTGCATTCCCTAAAGCGAGATACTGCAGCTTTGAGGTACTTCTGTGACATTTTAAACTGTTGGGTGCGGAGACTGTGGAGCCCTAATTGGTGCCAGTGCACAGCATCATCTGGGTCCTCTCCAATTGCCTGTGAAAAAAGAGGCATTCTTGAGATCAAGCCACAAAGGTCACTTTGTCTAAACTACTCTAGTTGTAGCTTTAAGAAACTACAAGCCCGATAACTGTTGCTAGAAGAGGGTAAGAACCAGCTCTCTGCATCACTATAAGGGTTCATTATTAATATTTCCTCTATTTTGTTCTTGTCTTAACTGGATGGAGGGATTACTAAGCTAATTACATTTTCTAAATTTTATTTGTGAGTCTTTGTGGAAGAGGTTGTATCACTCATATCAAACTTATTGCTTTAACTTTTAAGACATATATTCCCTACGCAGTTGTAATTTTTTATAGTTTACACTTATAAAAAAAGATTGAAAGTCTATGCCACAAAAAATAAAAAATAAAAAAAATAAAAAATAAATAAATTGAAAGCATTATCCATAAAAAGTTACAGTTATTGAATTTTTAAGATAAAAGTAGCAATTTATTAACACTAATTGTAAAGTTCAAAGGAGTTGTAACAAATGTGCTTATCTATTATTAAAAACTTGCAATTCTTTAAAGATCAAAAATTAAACCGAAAAATCAGCCAGATATTTTAAAACTCTTCAGATCGAACAAAGATGTTAGACTAACCTCATTTCAGCTAATTCAGAGGTAAAGTAACAAATTGACTCGTCCAACTTCTTAGAAAGTAATATAGGACAGCTTGAAAAGATTTATCTCTAAAAAAATTATAAAAAAAAAAAAAAGCAGATACCTTCCATTGAAATCATAGACGTCATACTCATGTGATATCCTCGTCTAAATAATTTGTAATATGAATAAGCATGTTTAGGTTGTCCCCCCCCCTCCCCCTCTCTCTCTCAGTATGTCTAACTTAGCCACTAGCACACCAATAGAAAAAGTTTCACTACAATGCATCTCTTGTATGATTAAAAACACATATCAATGTACCTGCTTTAAGCTGCAAATAGCATGCTCTTCAACTTCCATCAACTCCTTCTGTTCAGTTTCAAATGCTGCTGCAATTTCATGCTGAGCCTGATGAACCATAGCAAGTCCAGCCCAAGCAATTGGAGGATCAATCAGCAAAGGATCTGCTTCTCTTAGTATCGAAGCCATCTCATTACCAGCCAAAGATATCTGTTCACTGGGATTTTGTGACCTTTCAGCATCCTTGATACGGTGGATAGCAATAGCATATCGAGTAGACATACAGTTGGGCTCGAGTTTTGCTGCCTGCAAAAAGTAAAGCAGCATTACAAATTACATGCAAAAGACACAGTAGTCTAGCCTAAATATATATACAACTGTAGCTAGCTATTTTTCAGATATCAACAGAGACTTGTTCACATGAAAGGACAGCTGAAGGACACAAACTGATTTCATCAGAAAGGTCAGGGAGTACAAAGACACCTTTTCCAAGCACTTGCTAGAGCTTCTATAATCACCACTAATATCATATGCATTGGCAAGATTAGCCCATGTATGAGCTGCTTTAGGATCTGCTTTGACTGCAGCTAATAGACATTCCTTTGCCACATTGATAGCAGCAGCAGAATCTGACTCTGCACCAGCTTCCCCAGCACTGGCTCCAGCTCCTGAAAATTAGGGTTAGAAAACTAACATTGGTAGTAGGAGACAAGACAACCATATAACAGCAATATGTAATAGACAATAGCAAAAAGATCCACTAAAGATTTTACACTGGACAAAAGCAGAAGCAACAAAGAAATGTGTACTGTAAAATAAAGTTAGGAAACAAGTAATTCAAACCTGCAACAGCTGAGCCATACTGGTACAGCAAAATGGTAGCATAGTTGACAAGAGCACTGGGATGGCCTTGATCTTTCAGAATAAGCTCCTGGAAACATTTTGAAGCAGCCTCCACATTCCCACTGAAATTATGAATCAGGTATAAAGAAAAGCCGTAGAACACCAGCATCAAAAGATGACTGAGAACATTTGAATACAAAAATCCTGGTCACTGATGCAAACTACACTAACACAGCCAAGCAAGGAGTGAACCACACAACACATCAAAAGGACACTGACCTTAATATATACCGGATGGTAGAATAAGTGAAATTTTTCCATAATCAACAAGGAAATCAAATAAGCCTTTTTCTTTTAAAAAAAAATTCTGAAGCTTAATCCATGCTTTCAATTTTTCAAAAAGATTCTACAAACAGTTTCAATAATTTACACATGGCATATTTAACCTCATGTGTAATGAAGAACTTTTATGATTGCAAAGGAGAACCAGTAAGCCGTAAGTGCATGAAAGAGATAATATTAACCACATTCCCTTACCTCTGCAAATGAGCAAGACCAAGATTTGCAAGGCAATCCAAGTTGTGAGGTGCCAAGGCCAACAGGGAAGACATAACTGAAATAGCACTCTATAAAAATAAAAATAAAAATAAAAGTCAGATTTGAATGCAGAATAAGCCGTAAGCGCATGCAGAATAATGTTACAGTTTCTTAACATACACATTTAATAGTAAGCAAATTTACCTCCAAACGACCAGATTTAAGAAGCATAATTCCTAAAGTGTTCCACACAGGTACTTGTCTAATATCTGACATCACAGATTCCTTTAGCTTCGAAAGAATTTCTTCCAGCTCTTCAGGTTCAAGCTCTTTATCTGAAGCACAATCTCCAAGACTTTCTAGGAGGAGGCACTGAACAGCAAGGAAGGCAGCAATTTTAGCACAAGTATACATTAGGAATAAACATGTTCATAGGACTAAGATAATTTTAAAAAGCTCCTTGTCGTTATCTTAATCCCATCTCTTTCTTTCCTCTCCTTACTTCCCTCTCCTTCCCTCCCTTCCCTTACATTCCTAAAGGGCTAAGCCGTCTAACCAAATAACCTGTAAATAATTAGTGAGTTCGAAAGGTTTGGAAGGAAAATAGTTCCTAGCCTTCTTTCCTCACCTTCCTTCCCTCCAATATTTGTTGCCCAAACACAATTTAAATGTGAATATCATTCTTAAGTATCCCAGCCAAAACAGACTTCAAGAAATTAGAACAAACACCTGTGCATGATGCATTTGGACCAATGATAACAACTCTGGTCGGTCAATCTCCTCATCAGACCGGAGTAAAATCTCTGCTGCCTTCTCGTAGTCAAGCACTGCCTGAAAAAAAGTTCCACAATTTAGCCGCAAAGATAAGTAGAATGAGTTGAAACCCAAAAATAAGTTTTAAGACCTTAGAGCAACCTTTTGAGGCTGATTCAATCTCTGGTACATTAAGCCAAGTAAAAAGTGAGCATGAGCATTTTTTGGAGCTTTCCTTGCCACATGTATCAAACCCTACCGACATAGGAAATTTGTTATGTTACAAACAGGGGGGGGGGGGTCATTATAAAATAGACTGAAAATCAATTGCCAATAATACTAATAAAAAAAAAGGGACTAAAAATAATTGTAAGACTCCATGATTCATCAAATTTCCAGTACTGCCTCGATGAGACTTTTGTCTGAATTTCTATCTTGAACAGTACTAATCTGTGAAATGAGTGTATATTGCACAATATACTAGTGAATTGACAAAAAAAGAAAATTGAAGCAATGCAGGGTTCATCATTAATACCAGGGTCTTATCTGTTCTAGCTTCTAGGTAATCATTTGTCTTATAAATCTAATACAGGTGTCTCACATACAAGAAAAGAAGACCAAGACAATTGCTTACAGCTACTTGCCAAAATTCTTCTAACCAAGCTTAAAAACCAACCCGTTTAAGCTAGAAAAGCCTACAAACCTTAGCAACATATCCGCAAGCAATTTCACCTCTGTTGATACAGATTGTACTATGAGTAAACAAAAGGTAATTTCACCATTCTTCATTACTCTTTGAAGCTATGACAAGTGCAAAACATCCAAGTAGACCTTTTGATGAACCTGGCACAAAGCTATTCTTCTTTCAGCCTTTGGCATTGCCTGTGATTTGTCCAAGACCCTTTCAAAGACAAAGACTAGCAATCTAACATGGGAATCTGTCTCTTCATAGAACCTCTAAACTACTCCATACTTCCAAAAGTAATTTTGCGCAGATAGAATTGTGCAGAACAATAAGCAATTGTAACACTATTCAACATCTTTCCAACACAACTTACTGCTTGAAAACAACAATGACTAAAACATTAAGAACCAACTCACAGTTTTAAGGCTGCTAACTTTTTCTTCTCGGGATGACGGAGTCCCTTGAGAATGTTGATCTCCCTCCGCATCCACCCCACAGTCAAGATGGTCATCTTTTCCAGACCTTGAACGGCACTTCCCCATTTTATTTAACCTTCTAGCTTCGCCATCTACAACATCACTGCTTTCTTTTACTAACAAGGGCAACTTTTCCTGACCACTCTCACTAATTATTAACCTGCATAAATAAAAATTAAGCTTCAAAATTGCTTCTCACAAATACCCAATCACTAATAGCTGAATTAAAATAACTTTTGTCCAATAATAACACATCAAATAAGACAAATTGAATCATAGACTTCAGAACCTCTACCACTCAACCGAAACAAAACAACTAGCTTACTTGAAAAGTCTATGAGATCAAATTTCTGAATTTCATCTACATCATTGCCCTTAGCAGCTCTAGATACACCCAAGGGAATAAATAACATAGAACAACACATCAAACAACCAAAAAGACTACACTTGGTGACCTCAATACCTACAATCGACAATATTTTGGATTACTATCATAATTTAACTTTTCCTGACTACTCTAATGGATTGTTAAGAATGTTAAATTGTATAAATCAAAACAAACAATCAAATATATGGTTTTAAGCTTGTAATAGTTCAATAAAATTCTACAACAAACAGTTGAATGAAAACAACTTAATTATATTAATAACATATTAACCATGCCAAATTGAACCATGGACTTGAGAACCTCTACCACTCAACCGCAACAGAACAACCACTTTAGTCAGCATGGTATCGGGTATAACCCGACAACAAATCCCGTCTACATCATTGCCCTAACAGAACAACACAACAAACCAGCAAAAAGAAAAACCAAATTGTGAGACCACAATCATATAAATGACGTCCTTAAATTTAATTCCACCGCAAATTAAATTCCTTACACACTCTGCCTTAGCCAAAGCCTCTAAGTTGTTAACACCCCTCTAAATTTTGTCCAAATGGGTAACCAAAATTCCAAACAAAATAGAATTTTTGCCCCATTTCTAAGCTAAAAATCATGTTTTAGCAACTGGGTAATTGCTCAAAATTCCAATTAACCAATACTAGCAACAAAATTTATCAAAACAATGAAAAAATAACAAAAAATCCAAAGAGAAAGGAGAGAGAAAGACCTAGAAGGAAGAGGGGGAGAAGGGTTGAAGGGGTTGATGTCATCCTCGTCAAATTCAGGAGGATCGACATTTAAGTCGGCCAAAACGACGAGTTTCATAGGGTGTGCCTTCTTCTCCGAGGTTTCTCCGGCGGCTGACATCTGCAAATTTGCCAAAGCCTTCTTTAAGAGAGAGAAAGATATTTAGTTGTTTAATTAAAAGGGAGAAAGTGCGATTTATTATTACAGCAGCACTGTCGAACTGTATCTGTATTACTGGAGATAATTAGAGTAGACAGATGCATACGAGTACTTACATACATTAGTTGGGGAAATGATTTTGGCACGCCAAAAATTGATTTTGGCACACCTATTGTGAGAGCACAGTTTTTAAAATTCCTCTCATATAAAGGTGTGCCAAAATCATTTCCCCATTAGTTGTTGTACATGTTACGAGTATTTTTATCCCAATTTCCAATTTACTCGTAATTACCAATAAATTGTTAGCTCACTTGATACAACTCTTACCTCACAAGTCACAATCTAAAAAATTGGAGTTCAACTCCTACCAACTTACCAAGCAAGGGTACCCAGTTCTTTTTTTTTTTTTTTAAAAAAAAGGGTACCACGGTACTTGAGGGTAAGGATTGTAGGGATTCCTTTACCCTCTCCTTTACTGTCAAGTGCCTATCTTGTAAATACTATACCAGAAAATTGTGAGGGTATAGGTCTGGTCAGAATGCTTTTTTTCCATACATTAAAAAAAAATACTCAAAATTGATACTTCATCCGTCCTCTAATGTTTTTAGTCGCGTTTATCCATTTTCTATCTTACTTTATATATGTACTATCTTAGGATGATTTACAAAATTATACTTCGTAGCTTTTTTAAAAACTTATTTACGGTTTTGCGTTGGAATAAAACTTATTTGCGAATATACAGTCCACATAGGCTCGGTAATGTATTTAGGGTAATTTTTTCTTTGAGAAAAACCGCTACTTAAGGTCTAAAACCGAGGTAGCGATTTGCCTTTAGTACAATGTACACTCCAAGTAAAGATACGGAGTAGTATTATAAAGGGTAACAATTACATTTTATATATCAAAGTGTACTGGGAGCAATTACATTTTCAATTTCCAACAACTATTCACAACTAGTTATTAATTTACACTACACAATGTTATCGACTGTTAATTTTGAATGGCACATTAGCTGCATTGCAAGATACAAGCAGCCCCAAATGCTGCTGCTGAGATCAGGTCCAGAAGTGTAAGCATTATTTCCACAACATAATTTTGATTTATTGTGGCCTGCAAACTCCTAAAAATTTACAGTGAATTACATCCGACCAGTTCTACTCAACAATGTCATCATCATCTAACAAAAAAGTCGAGTCAAATTACAAACAACTAATGCAAAGATTTCGCAAGTCTAAGCGACAAGTCAATTTGATAGAAATAAAAACTTTATACATCTAATCCTCAAAATAAACTCTTATCATATCAGATGGTGAATCCAAGAAAATAAAAGATGAACATAAGGAGCCAACTAACAGCGCGATACTGTGAGGTAAATGCGCATTACACTGTTTAACATGCAAGAGAGAGGCTGACAACTAAATAATATATCTTCACTTCTACCTTCAAGAAGCAGCAGCCAACAAGCCATCTTCATCAGTTAAATCAAAACCTGGCAGGATCCAGTTTTGTTTCTTAGCATGCTCCATGTAATATTCTAATTTATCCTTGGCATTTGGAATGTCAAGCGCCAGGTCATCGAGCCCTTCCTTGACACGAGCAAACCCTTTAGTCATCTGGTTGATCGTGATCAGGCCCTCACCGAAACACTCCTGAAGAAGATCAAGCATCCGATCATTCTTCTTTTCCATGGCCATAATTAGTGCCTTCTTTACAACCTCATGGTTGAAAAAAGGCATCCCAAGATCCCTAATGCACTGACATGCTTCCCCTACAACACCTCCACTCTCATACTCTTCAAGCAGCTTCATTATCTTGTCCTTGGCATCCTCTACAGCCCACCCGGAGCCACCACCCCAACAGCGGAGGATCCTCTCACCCGCATGACGAGAGAAGACAAGCGATCTAGCCATATGTACAGTTTCGCTCCCACTACAGTTGGGCGGCAGCTTGCTTGCAATTTCATCGAGGTTCAGAGGGGCCAGAACATCATCAATTACTGCCCTAGCCAAGAAAAGAGCAAGCTCATTCGAGGCATCTAGGATATCAAGTGCCGTGTCTTCAGCAGATTCCAAGAGCATTACAAAGCCATTCACAATATCCTCTGAGGAGAAAATCTCTATATGTAGTGCAGACAGAAGAACAGATGCCATCTCTTTCTCCCTATTTTTCCGGTCCATGGCAAGGGTGATCAGCTTTTTCAAGAAAATTGAGTTTAGCTCCGGTGCCCCAAGATCTTCAAGACTATGAATGAGTTCAGGGATGTCATCAGAAAGGAAGTATTCATGAATTATAAACACAATCTCCTCCTTGTACTTTTTCACCTTTGCATCATCATGCTTGGGGAAATATCCATCATCAGTAGTGGATTTTGAAAATGAAGCATCGAGCCATCCTTCAGATATTGCCCTAGGTACAATGGACTGGAACAGCGATCTTGCGGATGGGATGTCCAGAGAAAGGTCATCAAGACTCTCCTCAACCCGATAGAACCCCTTTGTCATCTGACTGGAGCTTATTACGCCTTCTTCAGATGCTTCCTTCAATAACTTCATGATGAGAGGTTCAGATGATCGATTCTCCATACCAAGAACTAGAGCTTTCTTCACAACCTCATGGTGAAAAAAAGAAACTCCCAGTTCTCTAATGCACCTGCAGGCTTCCAATACATCTCCATTCTCCACATATTCCCTCAACAGCTCAGCAATCTTCTTTTTCACTTCCTCAACTGTAAGGTGAGTACTGCCACCCCATTTTCGCTCCACAAGTTCTGCATGGTGTGGGGCAGAAAGATAGCTCTTCTCAGCAATTTGAACAGCCTGAAGCCCCTTGGATGAGACTGGAAGATTTTTCTGCACTCTAGTGACAAATGCGGGAGGAAGGATGTCATCAACAACAGCACGGGCAACAAATAGTGCAAGTACGTTAACTGCATCAGGAATATCAACAGATAGGTCATCTGCCGACTCAAGCAGCAGGATGAAACCTTGACTGATCTGGGCTGGAGTGATGACATCTGCATAAAGAGCAGAAAGCAAAACAGAAGCCATCTCTTTCTCCTTGTCATGCCTATCCATAGCAATTGACACAAGCCTCTTTATGAAATAAGGATGGAATTCACTCGATCCTAGTTCTCTAAGATCAGATGCAGCCACATCCACCACACCAGTGTTGAAGTACTCCTCTATGATTGAAACCACAGCTTTCTTGTAATCATCCAAGGGGTCAGTAACAGTTGCTTCAACAAGCTTGTACGGCTCCTGAAGATTAAGAAGTATAATTTGGTTCATGCAAGAAAAAAGACATCAAGTATATGTGTACAATATATTAATTAAAGCAATGTATAACAAGCTGTCATCTACTAAGCTAACAATTAACAGGTAAATGGCAGAAGAAATACCTCCCCACTATCATAGTTAGGATCATTACGGTCTAGATGTGCTTCACATTCAGTATCAAGTAGCCTTCCCCAAGTTCCCTTGCCGCCGGCACCATCTAAATTCATAAATGCAAATCAGCACAGGACACTAACAAAGTAGGAAAGCGTGATCTTAGAAAGCATGCTATATTTGTAACCATTCCAGATTTACAGAAAGCGGTTGATAAAATCAACTGCATGAAAAATACGACAGACAAAGGAAAAGAAGACATCTGCAGGGGAAATTACAATAATACACCAAAAGAGCTTTAACAGAGAAACATACAAAGACAAATAGCTATAAAAACTACCATATTACGCACAACAGCTTGAGTTACTTAATACGGAGTATCATTTTGTACAGTAAAATTGATTGTCTGCCACCCTTCCTATTTGGATGATTGAACAGAATCCTAATACATACTCTATCCTTCTACGCATTTAATGGCAATTCCACAAAACTATAAATTCAGGTAGTTTAATAAATTGTAAGTGACAATTAGGTCTCCATGGAGTAGAAGGGTTTATGTAAGCAGTTCATGAGGATAAAGTATTACTATCGTTGCTATATCACTGACACCATCATGTTTTGTCAAGTAAGACAAAGACCTTTTTTTCTGGCCCCTATAAGTCCCAAGAACTTAAAAAGTGACAAGCAAAGGCGTTCACAATGGATTTGGTTTTTACACTTTTGGAGCAGAAAGACAGGAGGAAAGGAAAGGAAATAAAAATAGTAGATTTCACAGCTAAATCTTTGTATCGCTAAAAAAGATACTGCACATTAATAAGGGAAGGGATCCAATATATCACACCTCCTCCTCTTCCCCAATCTAGAATTGAATTACAGTATATATTTTCCCTTACTCTCCTTACTTCCCTACTCCAACGCCCTTCATGCAAACAAAAAATTACATAATTGCAGATCTGTATATAACAGAGTAACAGACCTAGAAACATTTGCAAATATATTACCCCTAGAATCAAACTTCCAAAAGTTATATAGTATTCCAGCTTTGTTCAGTATACATAGTATTAGTTCTTAATATTGCACATTCCAGTCTCATATCCCATAAATTGATACCTCCATCCCAGAAGTAACTGAACACTTATGAACACATCACAACATCACATAATCCCCAGCAGACATCCATATACTAGATATCTGTTATTCTGAAAGCCACAAATGGTAAGACCATCCGGAGAATAAAAAAGGGGAGAGTTATAATGAAAACTCCAGATTCTCAAAAGCAACAACTCTATTAACAAAGAGTGACACCAATTGTTAACACCTCATGCTCAAGTAATACAAGGAAACCAGAATATTGCAAGCAAAATTAAGTAACAGATGCATGTACTTCCTCTATTCTTTTCTCAGTCTACCACAGGGATTTCATGCTTGCCAAAGGCACATTTTACATCATTAACATTTTTAATTTTACCTAAGTAAATACTTCCTCCGTTTCTTTTTAGTCGACACTTTTTTTGTCAAGTTTGCCAATGTACAATCTCAATCATCAATATCTTTGATTACCGATATGCAAAAATTAAAAAAAAGTTGATACATCAAAAATATACATTGTGACGAAACTATCAAGATCCCACTTGACTAAATTTTTCTTCACATAAAAATCACAAAACATGGTCAAAGAGAGGTGTGTGAATAGTCTTAAAGTCAAAACGTGTCAACTAATAAAAAACAGAGGTAGTATAATAAGAAGATAATACTACATCTGTTTTTTTAAGTTGACACGTTTTGACTTTAGCACTCTCACACACTTCCCTTTGATCGTGTTTTGTGATTCACACGTAATGAAAAATATGTCATATGGGGTAAATTCATCACGGTATATATTTTCAAAATATCAACTTTTTTTATTTTTGGCTTAACGATAACTACTCATTAATAGTTGAATTTGTGCATTGCTAAATGTGACTAAAGAAACGAAACAAGTTTATTAGAAAAACACAGTGTCAAATCTAAAAAAATCTCTTTTCCTAAGGCATAAATCACAAAAGACGGCAAAAGTTTATGTGAATAGTGTAAAATTTGCAACGTTTCCATAAAAAAGTTCTATATTAAAAAATAAAAACGGAGGAAATGTGAACCTAAGTTTGGGATAAATACCCGAAATTGTAAAATTACTCAAAGTTGTCCCATAATCCTCATAACTCCATTAAATTGCGATCAAGCAAAAAAAAGGGAAAGGAATCAAATTAACACATAAAAGAGTGATCTTCATCTTCACTGTTTAAAGATATACTCTATCCTACAAAATAGTGTCTCAATTAACCTAAATATACAGCACATACAAAACTGACAGATTAATCACAATCCATAAAACCATAAGAAATCAATGGAAATTAAACTAACAGCATTGTGAATAAAATTTTACTCACCCTTCTTGACTCTGACAACCTTCCCCGAATGACGAGGTTTCACAGAAGGCGCCTTCCCACCACCACCACCACCACCTCCTCCTCCACCTTTCCCACGGTGATCAGAGAGGAATGTAGTCGATTTCGGCGAAGACAATAAACCCTTAGGCGATGATGATAACAACTTCGAAGGAGCCGGTACTGAATTCTCTGAAGCTATCTTCATCCTCTCCCTCTGCTCTTCTGTTAAGAATCCTTCATTTGACGCCATTTCTCCAATCCCTAAAAAAATCACACAAATCATCACACAATCCATACCAACCAAAATCAAATTCAACTCTCTCCAAAATTCCTAACTCTAACAACATAATGTCCAAATGAAAAAAAATGTCGGAAAATCACACAACAATTAATTCACACATTTTATCCAAAATCAATATAGATTTTTTATCAACATCAAAAAATTCAAAAACACATAAAATCCACATTTTTCTTCAACATTTACATACATATATAATTCCAGAAACACACATAATAACATCAAAAAAATGCAATTTAACATTTTAATCAATCAAAAAACATAATCAATAACAACAAAAATGAAGATGAAACCAAAACAAAATTAAAAAATTACCTGAAAATGATTACAACAGCATAAACCTCAAGCAAAACCAATCGAAATCCAACCCTCAAATTCCTCCGTTTCTGTACTTGGCCCGGATCTCGAGCCAAGACAGCCGAAAAAAAAAAGTAATATCAAATTAAAAAAATCACAAGATCTTCGGAATAAAATCGAAGAAAGAGAAATCGAATGAATCAGAAACCCTAGAAAATTGGGGGAAGAGAGAGAAAAACTGAGAAGAAATACAAGAGTAGTGAGGGTGGTATGTGTTATGTGTATGTGTCTGAGTGTTGTCGTTCTAATCGGTTTTAGAGAGAGAAATTCAAGAGAGAGAAAGTTTGAGAGAAATGGATGAGAATGAAAGAAAAATATGGGCCTATTTATAGGGAGGCTATGATATATTGTACACGTCAGCAGGTTATTTTTAGGGGAGTTTTAATTTTTTATTATTTTTTATTTGGGGTTGCCACGTGGTAATTTTTGATCTTGCTTTGTATTTGATGTCCTGTGGTTTTGTTCCACGTGTGTGTGGTCATTGAGTTTGGGTTGGATTGTTGTGAAAGTACTAAAATGCCCTTGGTTGAGAAGGTTGGGTTGGAGGGGAAGAGGGGGTAGTAAAGGTAATTTTGGTGGATAGGATTAGTTCTATCCAATTGAGTAAAGGTGGTGTGCTAGTTTAAGGGTTAAGAAAAATTATTGATCTCTTTGATTTATATTACCTAATTAAGAGAGGATATGATATGATATGATTCTTTTGGATAGGGCCTTTGGTAATATCCATGTAAAAATTGATTTAATGTGTAGAAAACTAGGCTGTAATTTGGATTTTGGATATATATGTTTGAACTAGTAATACGTTCATAATAATGTAATAATGTTGAATGTTGGTGTTTATGTTAATGCATGCTTTTAATTAATATTATTGTTTTAACGAAAAAAGTTATATTGTTTAATTTAGAAGAAATTAACTTAATGAAACTGAGTTAACAAGTACAAAGTAAAAAAAAAAAAAAAAAAAATTAACAAAGATAGAGACTCCTAAATGCATGTCGTAAATTTTTTGTCATACCTAAAACTAACTCATAATGTTCTCCAATAAATTTTAGATGTTGTCTTTCTTAGTTTTACATTATAGTGTCAAGAGGAGTGTGTTATGTCCAAAGTAGAGTTGAGGGGTCATATGATCTCATTTAACTCTTTAGAATGTTTGTTACAAACATTTTAAAGTTGATAAATAAAGACTGAAACTCATTGTTTTGAGCATAACTACAACGTTGCTATCATAGATTAACTATTGAGATTTGGCAATGAAACGATATTTGGTATCATCTTACATTTATACAATATTAACTTTTAGAAACAACATTGAAGCATATGACAGGAAGCTTTTGTCATGTCGACTAATTTAATCTGTGGCCTAGTGGTAATTTTCGAGATATAGCATTACCCTCACCAGATCAAATAAAGTTTGATTGAGAATGCCCTCACACCAAAATTGTCAAGAATTCTTCTTTAAACATGTTAATTAGATGAAGATTACTCTCGATTTCATTAATGTATTCGAGGATGGTTGAATTCAATTTACATGTACCTCTGTTTGTGCTACAATTGCGTTATTAGGTTTATGATTTATTTTGATTTATTTTTATTACCACCTTTCCACCTTGTTCACATAACTTAGGCAATATATTTATAATAATGTTCGTTTCATAGATTAGGTTATTTTGAATGGTATAACACTGTATATGTGCCCTAATTATAAATAGATTAGGAGATGATTGAGTTATTCCAACCCAAAATACCCTAGTTTATTACCTAGGTAAGTTATTATGTTTATTATCCCAGAAAATGAAACAAATGTTGGTACAAAGTATCATATAACATTAAGTACAGGGTGGCCTGGTGTTGTAAAAAAAATTCAGTACAAAACTACAAAATAGTGAAATACACTTCTAAACTTATGCATTGAGCTGAGGTATGTGACGACAACAATTCAAGTTCTCTTTTGAGTATAAGTGTAAACTATTCTAAGGTTGAAGTCTTTAGTATAGTACATAAAATTGAGATTAAATAACATCTGTACATGCGAGTTTATTACTTCCTAAACAAAACAAAAAAAAAGTTATCACCATTGAACTTGTTAATTTAATAATATTAATTTCCTTCTTTTAAAAATTTAATTTGGAGTAGTTGACATCACTAAATATCTTGCATATTAGAGATAAATATAAATTGAATGATTTTCCATCTTTAAGAGCCTCGGTATGTCAATTTTCCATATTTGTGTATTTTCTAAATTTGTTAAATCTGCATTAGGTTTATGAATTACTTCGTATATTTGTAGGCACCTCATGTAGACACATGCAACTTCTATGTTTCATTGTTCGTGAAATAGACTAAATTACTATGATTACATAATAGAATAACAATAATAATTACGGAGTTTTATATTACATGATAGCATGATGTGTTAATAAACTAATAATTATGATGATTGTGTTAATGTGTTATTACAATAAAACTAAAATAAAACCTACAAAGTAATAAATATGATGCCTTAATGTTCTTTTTATCCTATTAAAAGTACATGATATCTTATTTCGTGTTATTTTAGGAATAAAGTTAAGATAGTTTAATCCAATTTCTTATAAAATTATTTCAAGGGAGCACAATGTCCACCATGCTCTTGAAAACATGACAAATCATGTGAGAAAATAGAGTATGACAAATCATGTGAGAAAATTGTGAAAATTTTACAGAGTATGATAAAAATCATGGGAGAAAATGAAATTAGTTACATTTTAGTTTCGTAACAAGAAAAAATGAAAAGCATGTTATTTTTACGTGACAATTACTTTTGCAAAATTCTTGTTGGAGTATTGTTTACCTTAAGCTTAAACCTTATTCCTTACTGACAAATTGCTCAAACTTTTATTTATTTATTTATTTTTACGGCAATTTCTGCCATTTAAGAAATACGATATGAAGTTTAATTCATCCTTAAATGATCAAATTTTGAGCGAAAATATAAACATAAGTGTAACTTCAGATTGTACAACAGCGGAATTTTACTAGAAAAAATGGTACTGTAAATACAACATAGATTGATTTTACAGATTCTGTCTGAACACATAAATTATGGCAGTCGCCAAAACCAAATACTCGTAACAGAAATAACAGCATCAGACATCAGCATGAGTAATAAAGCAGTCCATATATTCAGGGGGAAGATAGCAAACTACATGTGACATGACATTCAAGGCATGTGAATGAAATCATGAAACAACCAGCAAAAAACAGTCGGCGATGAGAAGTTCCTGGTTTCAATCGTTCAAAACAGTTGTTTATACCTTTCCATTTGATTCTATACACTACAACAGAAACACATATAAAATATACATGAAAAGAGAAGAGGGCCGAGTTGATCAAGGACATTGTACTCGACTTTGTGCAGATTGTTAGCTATCTAGCCTTTCAGTTTCAGGCATGCAAGACACCAGGTAAAGCTAACAGAGCCAAGAAAAGCACTTTAGTATCCCCAAGGTCTGGGTATTACCGAATTTCCAGTTGACTTGTAAGAAGTTTTAGCACAAGCTTGACTGTAACTCATCGTCCAACATGATCAGGATTGTGAAATCTCACATTTTTCTTCTTGTTCTTCCAGAATTCATCTTTCTGAACTCTCCTTTTATCTTTCACCATACCCATTTTGCTATTAACTATACCAAGTATGGCACTCTTGTCCTTCTTGTTCTTTACAGCCGCTTTTACATTCAAAATTGATCTTAGCTTCTGGTACGATTCAGTATCTGGGATTTGCCCACTTTTAACCATCTGTTTGTGGTAATAAAAAGCCCTTTTGAAATCACGAACACGAACAAAAGCATAGATCATAGTGGCGTATGTAACAGAATCAGGTTTCAAGTTTAGAGCAATCATCTCCTTCAATAACTGCGGTAACTTTAAATCTTGTCCTCCTCGTGCATATGCATTTATTAGCATATTATATGTTATCACTGTTGGTTGGAAACCGATCTTTCCAAATTCACAGATAACATCCCTCGCTTCCACATAATGACCCTGCTTTGCAAATCCATCAAGAAGAATGTTGAAGGTTACCCGAGTCCCTTCAATTTTCTCCTGAATCATGGATTTCCATATTTCCTTTAATGTTTGTACATCCCCAGCTCGCCTGAATGCATCAAGAAGAGCAGTATATGTTTCTATAGAGGGTTTAATTCCTTCCCTCCGCATGTTCTCAAATGCTTTATATGCTTTTTCATGCCAACCGCTAATCGAATATGCATGAATCAGGGCAGTATAGGAATGAGAAGTTGGCTTTATACCAGCTTTTTTCATCCTCAAGAATGCATCTGCAGCCATATCACTCATCTTCTTCTGTCTCCCATATGCACTTATCAGATTTGTGTATGACTTGACATTTGGTTCTAGGCCAGTGTTTTGCATTTCCTCAAGAATATTCTCCACAATCTCTGGTTGCATCCTTTTGCTGTAAGCATCCATAAAAATATTGTAGGTGGCAGTTGAAGGCGAAAGGCCTTTGGTCTTCATCTCAACAAAGAGAGCTTCAGCTTCTTCAAGCTGGTTGGATTTACAATAAGCATCTACAAGGGTGTTATATACTATGGTATTCGAGGAAATCCCTTTCTTCTCCATCTCTCCCTGAATGATCAAGGCTTGTTTCTGCAATCCCTCATCACAAAATGATTTGATCAGAGCTCCTACAACCTCCAAACTCCATTTGATTCCTTTTCTATTCATTCTTTCGAAAAAATCCCATGCATCTTTGGCTTTTCTGCCTTGCTTTCTTATGACAGTAATCATAGTAGAACCTGTCACACGATCTGGGAGGATATTATTCATCTCCATTTCCTCATAAACCTTCCAAACATCTTGATACCTACAATAAACATCTCTGTGTTATAAATCCAAAAAATAATAATATTTTGAACACAGTTCTCAAATTCTCTACAGGAAACAAGATTTGCGCAAGTCGTATGCATCAACAAGAGACTGCATGGATGACACTTCTATAATCCAACAACAGTGCACCTATACACCTAAGACCTAACCCATCTCACCATAATATAAAATTGTTTCCATTATTGACTAAATCCTCTTTCCAAACCCTCCCCTCAAGCCCTAAGTATACAATGAGAAGCAGCGCCGGTAAGCATCTTCAATTCTCATTTAGGTGCATCTACATGACGCTTGACATGCCATATTACTATGTTTAATGACTTTCCTACACACTAAGCTTGCCGATGTTAAAGCTATCAGAAGTCAGAATAGACACACACACACACACAAAAAAAAAAGAAAAAAGAAAGGAGTACCTAGAGTCCAAGACACTGACAATATCCTGGAACATAATTTCCTTCCAATCCCCTTCTTCCAAGTTCTAAATACTGCCTACCAACTAAATTGAAAGTACAAGAGAGAAGATAGTCACAATTGTGCAATATGGAAACATAAAAATTAGAGGAATTATGATAACAGTGCAAAAGAATTACGAGTAATATTTTGTAGAAAATTATTGGAATACAGGATAGTTTTATATGGACATTTTAACGCTTCATTTGGGACCAAATCAATTTCATGGAATTTTGCACTAAATAGCCAACCAGGATACTTCATACTTGGACAAGTACCCGTGTCCAACACAAAAACGGAGTCTGAATAACACAGTCATGGCCTTATTGTTTGAAAAGGTATTTTTCAATCAAAAATTAAGGCTTGGGCAAAACCAACTAGCAAATTAGTCAGCATTGAATGTATGGCAAATCCAATTTAGCCAAATACAAAGGGAAAAATTTATACTGTTAAATCACTACCCTAGCTTTGGGTTTGATAAGTGCATTAACTTTCCACCTAAACAAGTAAAGATTATAATCATTCTATCATTTGTCTAAGCAGAACTAAAATGCAGCATAAAACAAGATAAAGTGTCAAGCTCTCTGATTGACTGATTCATCTATATTTCCAAAAATTATCATAAAAGTATGTAAAGATATACCTTCCACTGGTTAATAGCCCAGACATTGCAGCATTATAAACATGAACATCCCTAAAATCGCTCGAATCAGGCAAATTCCTCCACAAGATCATCAGCTTACCACCCATCCTAGCCCTCCCCAATGCAGGAAACAACACAGAACAAGCTCTAGGAGTAACCATAGAGGGTTCCTGCAACCCCATCCACTCATAAAAATACAAGCAACTCATCATCATACCTTCCTGAATCATAAACTCCAACACTTGCACACAATCAGTGTCTCCTACTCTTCCCTCATACCCACTTAATAGCTCTCCCAACGTCAAATTCTCCGGTAAATTCCTCGCAATTCCCAATATTTCCCCTACAATACCCTCAATCTCAGGCCTCTCATCATCACCCAACTCATTCCTCTCCTCTATTCTTTCCCCTGTGAGCTCGAATCCAATTTCGGGTTCGGTTTCGGTGTCCTCATTGTCATCAGCCAAATGCCAAGCAGTTCGACGTTTTTTCTGGAGGGTTAACCTGGATTCCCGAGGTGGGTCTTGAGTTGAATTGCGGGATTTGAAAAATCTATAAATTGGGTCATCTGGGTATTTCTCATTTTGCTCTTCTTCTTCAACCTCTTCTTCTTCTTCTTCTTCTTCTTCTTCTTCTTCTTCTTCTTCTAGGTAAGGAAGAAAAATGGGGGGTGTAGAAACAGAGGAAGAAGGTGGGTTAGAAGAAGAAGGAGGTCTTGAGGAGACAGAAAAAAGTTTGAATTTTTTAGTCCCGCCATTAAAGATGAAGGAGTTAGGAGAGAAAAGTGAACTGTGATTGAAATTTAGGAATGTGAAAGAAGGAAGATTATGGCTCATTAGAGCCATTATTGTCAGTTCACTGGAAATTTCACACCTTTTTTTGCACAGAGGATTGAACTTTGAAGAACCCCAGTAAGATTGAGAGATCAGTTTTTCTTACAAATCACAGTTTGCCACTAGTATCATACTATAGAAGCTGAATTTCAGTTGGGCATTTTGTCGAACACTTGGTAGGCAAGCACAAAACACCGAGAAAAAATTTACACCCACGATATCAAAAGAGTCAATTATTGAAAGCTGTGCTAAAAATCTGTTTAAATTGCAATAAAAAGATCCTCACCATTGAAGCTTCAGAGTTCTGAAGCTCTTTGCTTTTCTCTCTCAAAAATCAAAATGCTCTCTTTCTTTATGACGCAGCGCAGGATTTACGTTTTTAAAAGGGGATTTCCAACAAGAATAAGGATTTTTTATTTTTAAAACAGAAAAAACGATTGATAGACTATGTTACTAGGAATCGGGTACCCATGTCCGACACAGGTATAGGTTTAAGTGTCCGACTCGGCTATTTTGTGACCAAATTATGTAATTTTGAATAAAAATGAAGGGTCCAAATGTCATACCCAGGTCCGAGTGTCAAAGATCCAACAAGGGTACTTGAGGTAAAATAAAGAGTCCAAGTATTAGTAAAAGTATAAAATGAATGATTATACCTTTAAGACTTTAACACAATCACATTGAAATGGAGGAATTCTTGTCAAAAAAATAAAAATAAAAATAAAAAATGGAAGAATCATATTTAATTCCTTTGGATATTTAAATATCCAATTGGATGATTCTAATTATATTTGACACAATAAGTGAACCAATGTAAAGTGCCATAGGTTGAAGACTTGAAGGGAACCGTAGAAGTATAATACTAGTAGCAGATTAGTAGATGGACAGATGGGCTGACATTTGGCGACGAAAAAGATATCCAATTCCGCCTTAAGCGCCCGGTCCATCCGGCTAATTGGGCTTTATCTTTATGGTATTTTTATATTGTCATTTGTCAATCATCCTGTCAATTTACTAAGCTATGAACTTATGACTTATTTATAAGTTATAACTTTTCTAGGTAGAAAGGCAAAGCATATTATAGGATCGGAATTTTGTACATTAATTAGTTTAATACTACCTCCGGTATAGGTTATGTGCAATGATTTGACATAAAATAGAGAGGGAAAATGTCTAATCGTTGCACATAACCTGTAACGGATGTAGTATAAAAATATACATTTGCTTGGTTCAAGTAAGTTGGACGTTTTTAAGGATTATACCTTGTTATTTATAATCGTGAGTATGTAAAGTTGTAAAGCGCATTATCAGATTAGCTAAAAGTGGACATTAATACTTCCTTTGTTTTTCTAGTTGACACCTTTCTATTATCACGCTTGCCAACACATGTTTTTAACCATTAATAACTTCAATTATCAACATTGCAAAATTATAAAAAGTGGATTTTAATAAAAATATACATATAAGCGATTTAAACAAGATTTTACATAATTATATTTTATCGTATCTGTAAATCATAAAAGCGAGTCAAACTGTGTCAACTAAAAAAACAAAGAAAAGATTCAAGTTGTCATTGTTAAGGATTATACTCCTTATTTATATACCATTCCTAGAGAAAAAGCCTAAATTTCTAACTTGTTCAAAATTCAAAATTTATGGTCAACACCTTCACTACTTTGTTACTCCGTAGCAATGTGTGGCTAGGAGATATGCCCCACAAGTCCCCAACTTACCAAGCAACCAAAAATTCCCATTCTTTTTGCTCTCTCTCAGCCAATGTAATAAATACAGTACTCAATTAATTTGGGACATTTCTAGCATAAATTAAAGGTTCCCAATAAAAGATTGCAATTTTGCAATCAATTTTTCCATGTACTCCTCTCTCAAAAACCCCAATACTCTGCTTCTCACAGAACCCATCTAATTCCCACCTAAAACTTCACAATTTCATGAAAAAATCAAATCATAAACCCAAATTATCATTCAATAATTACATGCAATTGCTTCAGATGTTGTAGTTGGATCATCAGCTTCAGGGGAAGAAAATGAAGTGTTTGTGGGTCCCAGCAGTCAAGCAGAAGTCAGAGGAGAGAGATAGGTCGCAGATTATGATTGGATAGAAGAATGGTACCCACTTCACTTAACTAAGAACATTCCAGAAGATGCTCCTTTGGGTCTTACTGTTTTTATACAGCTTGTTCTGTTACGTGATGCTTCTGGTGACCTCACTCTCAGGTGCTAAGAAGATCGTTGCCCCCCCCAGGTAATTAACTGTCCACTCAATTTTAGATAATTATTAATTACTAATCAAGTGTGAGTGATGCAGACGTAATTTGATCTCGGGTGTTGAGTTAGATGTCATGACTTTAATTAACTAACCTTGTTAAAATAAGACGTGATTTGATCTCGGGTGTTGAGTTAGATGTCATGACTTTAATTAACTAACCTTGTTAAAATAAGACGTGATTTGATCTCGGGTGTCATGACTTCCACCCCGTATGTTCACTACTTTAAGTCTTTAATTAAGGGGTAAGCTGATATTTTATTTAGGTTTTATTCTTGTTTGATTGAAATGTAGGTATATAAAGTTGGACTGTGGAATTGTAATTGAAAGATTTGATCTTTATGGTTCAGATGTTGTTATAATTATGTAGTTATGTACTCAATCCGTCTCATAATACAATTGCTCTTTGGGTTTTTACGTGGGGATTAAGAAAGTTGTAAATTCCTTAAAATTAAAGATTAGAAGTTTATATGTGCATGTGGTTTAGAGAGAGGTAGAGAGAAAGAAAAATAAATAATTGAAAGATAGAGAGATAAAGTGTTGAAAATTGATGTTGTTAAAAGAAAGAAGAAAAGGTAAAAAAGATGGCAATTTATCAAAAAGAGAGTAAATAATGTAAAAAAAAAGTACAATCTTTGAATAAAAAGAGACATTGTATTTTGATTTACCCAAAAGGGAAAAGAGGCATTATGAGACGGAGGGAGTGTCACTGAAGTCTTGAATTGTACTGATTGATTATATTTGGATGACCTTTGAATGTTGGGACTTGGGAGTATGGTTTACTGGTTAGAGAGACTTGAACATTGTTTTACAGGGCTTTAGCTTAGTTGAGACTTGAGATGAGAAATTTGCATACTTTGGAAGTGTTTGGGTTTAAATTAAATCGAGCTAAAATGTAAAACTATTTCAATTTTTTTTATTTAAATATACAAACTAGTTTTAAATATAGTTCATCCCCTTCATGTATAAAACATTATGCATCATGTAGCCTTTTAGTTATGCAAGCATATCCATTTATACCATTTGTGGCATTCACTATACTTTAGCTCGTTTATTTAGCTTTCGCGAGCACTTTCATTGCATTCAATTACTAGCATTTTGTCTACTAATATTGTAAATGAAGCCTTGGAAGTTGGAACATAATTGTGATGAAAAGATTAAAGAATGTGCTTGCTAGTTTGTGAATCATACAATTAACAATAACGAACACAAACAGCAAGTAATAACGAGACAAGGAAAATTTACTGTGGGAAACTCGAGAACTGGGAGAAATCCCACTAATCCATTAAGGAGTAATACTTTGATGAAAAACAATGTAAATTACAAGCTTTCAATTCAACATGAAATCTCCCACCCCAAACTCATCCTCTCAAACCCTCAAACTCCAAAGCTATGCACCCCCTTGCCTTCTTGAACCATTCTCCACACTTCTCAAACTCAAGAAATTGCTCAATCATAGACGCAACTCTTTGATTCTACTTTGTTAATACAGAGAATTAAGTTCATTTAAATGTTGTGTGGGAAAGAATTTGTGTTACAAGAATGATGATTGAATAATGATAGAGAAATTCGGAAACAGTTTTTTCTATAGACATCTAAATTAGATAGAAAGCTGGCTTCTAATGTGATGTTTGCTTTAGGCTAGCCAAACTTTCAGAATGGCAATTAGTTGATGGGAGGTTGGAATGCTTATACCATGGTTGGCAATTTGAAGGCAAAGGCAAATGTGTGAAGATTTCTCTGGTCAATGCTTACCCGACCTTGTCTTTAATATTCGTTCACCTAGAATTCCAATCTTAGTATTCAAATCTTGCTGAAAAATGTATGTTTCTAATAACTTTCTTTCACAAATATTCTCTATCAGCTTCCAGCAGGAGCCAAAACTCCTAAACAAGTATGTGTAAGTACTTATGAAGTGAGAGATTGCCAAGGAGTTTTGTGGGTGTGGATGTCCCAATGAACCCCGCCAAATGCCAAGAAAATCCCTTGGTTTGAAAACTTGCTAGGCCAGGGTTTCAAGATGTCTCGACGACACATGAGCTTCCATATGACCACTCTATTCTCCTCAAGAATCTAATGGACCCAGCCCACATCCCGATCTCCCATGATCGGACTGATTGGACTGCGAAGCGTGAAAATGCTAAACCTTTGCCTTTTGAGGTTACTGAGAGAACAGAACGAGGATTTGCTGGCTGGTGGGGAAAAGAAAGCGAGAACTCTTTGCTCAATTTTCTGAGATTTGAGGCAACTTGTGTGCTCTCAAATAGCTGAGAGTTAGTTGATGAGAAGGGAGAAACACTACTTCACTGAATCACTGGGCTCTTCCTTAGCAGGCCACCAGGACAGGGTAAATCTATGCTCATTATGACTTGCTAAAAATTTTCCCACATGGTATTTCCACCAAAACTCTAGCAAGGTATTTGAGCAAGACATGAGCTTCCTTTCGTCTCAAACTGAGGTTTTGATTACAGAGAAAGTCCCCACAAAGAAATTCTACTTGAATCTGAAGTTGTCTGACACTTGGGTTGCAGAATACAGGATGTGGATGGAGGATGGATAGAGTTGGACATGGTATGCCTTACCATTGTTGGGAACAGTTCTATTTTACCCCTTAGGCTCCAGCAGTTGTTGAGCACGCCCCAACAGGCCTAGTTGCTGGGCTCTCAGCTCAGTCTCCTGCTAAAGGTGGGCTTGGGACAATGTATTCTCCGAATCGGGGTAACAGGTATTTCTGACATGTGAACCATCGCAAGGAGTGTAGTGATGTAAAAACATTTGAAGCATGAAAAAATGCCCTCTCTATCATTTCTTTTGTCCACTGGATTCGCCACACTTGTTTCAGGAAGGCAGTGGAAAGTTCTTTGGTTAGTTACCACCTCGCAGTTTTTGGCTGGAGTTTATGCTTGCTCTGTTGCAATAACACTGAATACATCAAATTTTTTAAGGGCTTGTCGAAGACTGTAAAATTTTCCCAAGCTATCTGAGAATAAGTTCAGGATTGAAAATTAAGAGATGCTCACTTCAACAAGAGTCTGAAGTAAATCTCAGGACTGGGCTACTACAGATTTACATAGAGAAAAAAAAAAGATAGGTAGTGAAGTATTCTATATGCAATTTTTCTGTTT